GAGAGTCTGCCTGCTAATGTAGGGGACACAGGTTCGAGCCCTGGTCTGGGAGGATCCCACATGCCGCGGAGCAACTGGGACCGTGAGCCACAGCTACTGAGCCTGCGCGTCTGGAGCCTGTGCTCCACAACAAGAGAGGCCGCGATAGTGGGAGGCCCGCGCACCGTGATGAAGAGTGGCCCCCGCTTGCCACAACTAGAGGGGGCCCTCGCGCAGAAACAAAGACCCAACGCACAGCAAAAATAAATTAAAAAACAAACGAACAAAAAAAAAACTGGTAAGTGTAACAGTTTTCCTGAGATCTGTGAGCCACTCTAGCAAATTAATCAAATCTGAGGAGAAGTCCTGGGGACTCTGATTGACAGCCAATTGGTCAGAAGCACAGGTGATAGCCTGGCCTTGTGCTTGGCCTCTAAAGTGGGGCGGGAGCAGTCTTGCGGGACTGAGCCCTCAACCCGTGGGATCTGACGCCGTCTCCAGGCAGATAGATAGTGTCAGAATTGGGTTAAATTGTAGGACACCACCTGGGGTCGTGGAGGATTGCTTGGTGGGGTGAAGGGTTCGGTGTGAGTAGTAAAGAAGACACACAGGAGGAAAAGAAATTGGCTTTTTTTTTTTCTTAATACAGACACCTTTATCACTCTTCTCTCTTAGGAAATTCCCAGGGTTTTGGGTACTCTGTGCTAGAAACAGGGATGAAGACCAATATATATATGTTTTTATTATAAATCACAACCTCACAGGTGGGAATAGAGGGGAGTGGACCAGGATATGATCCCTCAACACTTCTCCTTTCTATGTCCTGAGGACTTATTGCTTGTCTAATGTCTATCTTCTCTACTGGACTGGAAGCTCCAGGAGGAAAGAGATTCTGATTCTCTTATTCTCCATTTTAGCCTCCAGATGCCCAGCACAGACGCTTTACTGTTACTGTTCTGTACACAGAAACTGGTGTGACATCACTTCCACCATGTTCTTTTGCTCAAAGCAGTCCCAGAGGCCACGCTAATTCAAGGGGAGGTGACACAGACCTCACTTTTTTCTTTTTCTTTTTTGGCCGCATCGCATGTCTTGTGGGGGTCTTACATCCCCGACCAGGGATTGAACCGGGGTGCAGCAGTGAAAGCGCCAAGTTCTAACCAATGGACCGTCAGTCCCCCAGACCTCATATCTTGATAGGAGTTTTGTAGAATTTTTGGTCATCTTTATTCTACCACAGTGTCTCACAGCGGAGGCTGCTGGGCACCTCTTCTCCTGATAGACTGACTTATTTAAAACTTAAACATGGCTGGTGTTAAGGGGCTCATCTCATACATTTTTGTAGTTGCTTTATTTCTAAACTACGGTGGTGGATTATAACACACTGAATATTTTGATACTGCATTGCCATTTTTTTTTTTTTCTGTTGGTGGGACTCTTTGCATCCAATTAATTTACACGATTTGGAATGCCTTGAGAGACTGGTCTGAGATGGAATATCTCAAAGAGAATGAAAAAACAGGTGACAGACTTTTGAAAGATTTTGTAGTTGGCCTCTAAGCTTGGGGCTTTCTCCAGCAGAGCAGGCAAATGTGTCTTATTCATGCAGAATTGAGAGAGGAGTGAGACAGTCTGTTGGTCCTTTCTTCCCTGCTTAAATACATCTGTTGCATGCTATTTTTTATTTCAGGGTTGATGGATCGGTTTTATGATGTCCTTGGATTAAATACTTGGGCGAAAGCACCTCATATATTTGTCCATCAACTTCACTTTGTAGCAGATTTACATTCCGTCTGGGATGCCGGATTGACTTCAATGCTTTTTTAAAGCCTACAGCCTAACAAAAATCTTTCCCCAGTCAGCATTTTTACCGTATTTAAAAATATAAGTGTTTGCAGTGAAATGATGCCGGCTCTGGTTTCTTTTCTAGGGAAGAATCTAACTTGGCTTTTGGGGATGATGTTGTAATTGGTCAGAGAACTGAGGATCCTAATTGAGGCTGAAGCCTCATCAGGGCTGATACTCTAGACTCCAGAGCTTTCCTCTTCTCATCTTGAGTCATCCCACCCTACCTGTATCACAAGACATCTGGTTTGGTGGAGTGGATTAATACACTTTTTGAGGGTACCTTTTGTGGAATCAGCATCTCAATGCTTCTCTGCCTTCCTGTGGGAACCACACACTTTCTTAGGTTTGGCAATTGCTTGGTCTCTTAATTTCTTGTAACCCAGTGTTCACATGAAGGAAATTCATAGAGATGGTGGTGAGGAGATGGTTGCTTTAATGGTTTAATATTTAGAGGATGGCTCAAAGGAGGTGGATTTTCAAAACACCACACCACTGACTTGCTGTGTCATCGTTTTCAGCCTCAAGTTCCTCATCTGTAAAATGGGGAGAGTAATATCTAGTACCTCTTAGGGTTGTGGTGATAATTAATGTAGGCAAGATATTTCATGCATGTATTAGTTATCTATTGCTGTGTAACAAATAACCCCCCAAATTCAGCAGCTCAAAACAACAAATTTATCTCGAAGTTTCTGTGGATCATGAATCAGGGAGCTGCTTTGCTGGGTGGCTCTGGCTCAGAGTCTCTCATGAGGCTGTGTGTGAGGTGGTGACCAGAGCTGCAGTTATTCAAAGGCTGGACTGGAATACAATCTGCTTCCAGGCTCACTCCCATGGCTGGTGGCAGGGCTTAGTTCCTTGCCATGTGGGCCTCTCCATACTGGATGTCCTTTCAAATTCAGCATGACAGGTGGCCTCCCCCAGAGTGAGGGACTCCAGAGAGAGAGAGAGGGAATGCACAGCCTCTTGATAGATGAATGCCACAGTCTTTTTTATACCCTAATCTTGAAAATGACATCCTGTCACTTCTGCCGTATTTTACTTGCTAGAAGTGAATCACTAAGTCCAACCCACACCTAACAGGAGGGGGATTAAACTCCACGTCTTTGTGGGGGAAGTATCCAAGAATTTGTGGACATATCTTTAAAACGACCACAGCACAGTTCTGGGCACGTAGTAGATACTCAATCAATGATTAGATGTTACGATGAGCTTAGCAGACAAATTCACATCTTGGTGAGTTGATTTCCAGGCAGACTTTAGGGACACCCCACTTTTATCAAGCAAAAGGAATTTGGGGCTCATATTAACCCTGAGATGACATTCATTTTCTTGTCACTTGGGAGGGAAGACTCTTCCGGAGATCTCTGTTGTACTGGGTCCGTCAGCCCAAAGAGTCTAGGAGAGGAACACACACTACTTAAAAAATTCACTTCTCAGGATCAAGCACATTTTCTCCCCTGACACTCAATGCAGTGTCTCCCCAACTGGGGCCAACGGACGATGCCACGGGGACCACCTGGACCAAGGGGGCAGAGCGTACCCTCTGGGAAGGGCTCCCAGGCCCTCTTGCCCCCAGTGACTTTACATTCCAAAAACAGATGATTTTTAAAAATAAAGGAATTTATTTCACCATAGAGCATAAACCCAAATTTAGGCAAAAGAGGAAAAAGGAAAAAAAAAAAAGACCTCTACAAACCTAATGCTACCACATTTTATGATATTCTCTTTTCAGTTTCCCTTGTATATGATTTTCCATTTTTATATAGTTATAAGCAGTTGCAACTACAATTTTATATCCTGACTGTTTCCACTTAACTGTCACACATGTATTTGTATTATACAGTCCTTTACCACTTTTTAGAGTTCTTGAGGGCTGTATAATATTCACTGGCTGAATGTACCATAGTTTACTTAACTATTCTCCATTTTTCTCATTTATTTCAATCAGTTCTTAATATAATAGATATTTGCTTATTTATTATTTTTATGTGTGTTGTATTCTGCCATAATTATTTTACCTTTTGCCTTTTAATTTTTACCATTTTCTTTAAAATAGACACATTAGTCATTAATTTGGTACAGGCTAGATGGTGTACCTAGAAATATTAAAACTTTTCTCCTGGGGAATTACTCTGTTGCTTCTAAACTTGGAAAGCCCTTTCTTTTTTTTTTTTTTTATAACACCCCCTCTTCACCTCCAGTTTCTATATAGCTTTGAAAAATTCACCTGGAATTAATGTTGAAGTATAGTATGAAATAGGGGTCTAAAATGAGATTTATTTTCTTTCGCACAATTACTAACCCATTGGTCCAACATCACGTATTGCACGGTCCTGTACAATCTTTCCTACTGGTTTGTGATTCCCTTTTTTAAACTTAAAAATTTTTTTTAAAAATTAATTTATTTATGTATTTATTTTTGGCTGTGTTGGATCTTCGTTGCTGCGTGCGGGCTTTCTCTAGTTGCGGTGAGTGGGGGCTACTCTTTGTTGCAGTGCACGGGCTTCTCATTGTGGTGGCTTCTCTTGTTGCGGAGCACGAGCTCTAGGCACGCAGGCTTCAGTAGCTGTGGGACGTGAGCTCAGTAGTCGTGGCTCCCAGGCTGTAGAGCACAGGCTCAGTAGTTGTGGTGCACAGGCTTAGTTGCTCCACGGCATGTGGGATCTTCCCGGACCAGGACTCAAACCCACGTCTCCTGCACTGGCAGGCAATTCTTAACCACTGCGCCACCAGGGCAGTCCTGTGATTCCCTTTTAAAATCACCTCCATCTTACTTAGAATAGGCTCTACTTCTGGCCTATTGTTTCACTGATTTGTCTGTTTTGCATGAGTAGCTTTATAATATTGAAAAAAGAAGGAATGAATGAAGTCAGGCCTTGGCTAGAAGAAGAACTTGTTCTGGCTGGAAACAGCTAGATCTGCTAGAAGGCTGTCCTGACTTGACAAGAAAAGGAACTGAGGCAATGAAGTAGGAAATGTGAGTTCATACAACACAGTGGGGAGACAGCAGACACCAAAGATGGCATGTGTAAGGCCACCGCAGGGGGCCAGGATTTACGAAAGAGGCCGGGGGTGGGGCAGTTGCTAGAAGGGAAGCTCTAGACAGGACAGGACTCCAGCAAATGCAGCAACGATCTTCACAGGAAAAAGTAGTTCTTTGTTTGAAGCCATCTATTCATTTGCAGGAAGAATACCAGGGAATGTGTATCTCTCATCAGCTGGGCAAGAGCTGAGTCATGTCTTATTAAGCACGATAAGGCTGGTGATATGTTGATGGAAGTAACAATTTGGCACATGACCGGGAAAGCAGCAGATGCCACGTGGTTAGGCGTCAGTAAACTATTTGTTCCAGCACCTCGAAAGTTTATTGGAACCAGGGGGTCAGCCAGCCTTCAGTAACTGGGTAGGTGAGATGTGTGTAACAGGGTTTGATATTATGGGTATGGTCCTAATTAAGAGATTTATTTATTTATTTTTAAAATTTTATTTATTTTAATTTTGGCTGTGTTGGGTCTTCGTTGCTGCACGCGGGCTTTCTCTGAGCTGACGAGCCACAACTACTGAAGCCTGTGCGCCTGGAGCCCGTGCTCCGCAACAAGAGAAGACACTGCCATGAGAAGCCCACACACCACAACAAAGAGTAGCCCGCACTCGCCGCAACTAGAGAAAAGCCCGCGCAGCAAAGAAGACCCAACACAGTCAGAAAAAAAAAAAAGGATCAGTGAGAAAGCAGTCACCTGTGATCCTGGGCTTTGAAAAACCACCATGATTATTTTATGTACAACTGCTTTCCCATGGCTTACTCATCAGTGGGACTAAAATGTCTGATGGGAGAGTAAGAAGGGACAGATTGCTCGTGAGGAAGGACAATAAAAGAGCCAGAACAGCTCAGGGAGCCAGAAACTAAATTCATCACTGTTATCTTACAAATGCATTTATAAATGATTCCTTATACATGCTGAGCCGGGCTCCGTACGAACAGTGGCGTGAATCACCTCCGAAAGAATGCCCCACTGAAAGACAGCACGGTGACAATTTTACAAAACTTGATCGGGCAGGGCAGAGGCGAGGCGCTGTGCAGGATGCCAGAGGAAAGGGGAGTAGGATGAAAGAGAAGAGAACACGGAGGTGGAAGGCAAGTGAGGGAGGGCAGTCCTGGGGAGACAGCAGCTTGCGAGAGACCTGATTAGATAAGACAGCCCTGCAGGGAGCTGTCCTATCTCGGCCTGACAACAGCCCGAGGGCCTAGGACAACCCCGCTGCCTCACTGGGATTCTGAAAGCAGAGATGGGGGCAGGGAGAGGCAGTGTGGTGAAGCCGGACAGGCTTTAGGGCTACCCGGATGGGGACTCCTGGCTGGGACCCTTGTAGCAGCAAAAATAGAAATGAGAGTTTTCTTTCCTGATAAACAGAGAAAACAAGGGAACAGTGAACAGGCTAGGGAAGCAACTTAAACAGACCTGAAAGAGTTAAGCAATCTTGGTTAGTTTTTAGCTGTTAGAGTAAGAAACACTTGTCCTTCGCAAAGCTAATTACTCCGTATGAATTACACTCTGCGCCTGGCATTCTTGTCCCTCTGCTCTCCCTTGTAACATTCTTCATTTCAGAAAGGTCACGGGCAGATAACCTCAGGGACACCAGACCCGGTTGCTGAGCCGCCTGACGCCAGCTTTGGCCGTAAATTTGCAGAAAAAAAGAAAGAAATGCAAAACCTTAATTACTTTGAGCCTTATCACCTACCTCAGACCACGAGTCCCAGCTCTACAACCTTGCCCTATTCCCCAGAGAAGGGGGGCACAGTTCTTGAGGCACTAGCCTGCTGTGTTTTCCCCTTTGCCTGGCAAAGAATTAAAGCGATCTTTCTTTTTCTTCCATAAACTCTGTCTCTGTATTTCTGTTTGGCACTGGTGCAGAGAGCCAAGGTGGTTTTTTTTGGCAACAAAATTTGGGGGCTCATCCAGGATATGCTCGTGGGCAGGCAGCCCCGCAGGGCCCCTTGGCTTGATTGGATGCTCGGGGATCTCTCTCCATGCCAGCCTGCCAGCCTCCTTCAGGAGAGCAGACGGTTGGGGGTTTCTCTGAGGCCAGATCGCCAGGGACTCCCTGCTGCAGGGCCGTGTCCCACCTCACCCGATCCGCCGTCAAGGCTGCAGATCTCCAAAGCTGTGGCGGAGAACACGGGGGATGTGGCCCTAGCAGCTGCCGAGGCTTTTTTTTTTGCCTTAAAGACACCTTCTCTTCCCTTCCCCGCACCAGCCAGCCCGGACTTCTACTCCGAGAAGACTTATCCTCTTGGAGGATCAGAAAGATTCTCACAATTACATTTGTTACGTCGCAACACACCCGCCAGCATTTTGGTAAGTGCCCCAGGGCGCATAACAGGCCTTTTGACTCTTTCCGTTTGGGGAACTTTGGTTCTAATTTGGGGAATTCTCGCTGTGAAGGGAAATTCTGTTTGTAAGGCACCGTTTTGGACAAACGTCACTTGGAAGTCATGTTTGGGGCATTTTGCCGTTTGGCTTTTGATTTCTGGGCATCTCTTTGCCATCCTTTTGGGGTGTCCCTTTGCTCTTTGTTTTACTTTGTGACTTCCCGCTGGCGAGGTTTTGGTTTGGTTTGTTTACTTTGGTTTGAGCGCACAGACATCTGGTACTAACTTTTTGAGCTAAAATGGGAAGCGCTTCCTCTAAGGTTCCACACCCACCTGGGAACACTTGGAGAAAAATTTAAATGACTGGTCGACCTATAGCTATGATCCAATGGGGAAAAAAAACTGGGTCTCTTATAATTAGATCTTTATTGCCACAGGATGGGGAGAGTGGACCGAGGTTCCCTTATGTTCAGGACTTTTTCCCTTTATTATAATCCTGCTCTAGGTGGCTCCACAATCAAAAGCCTGAGGGATCAAAAAAAAATCTCTCCTAACATTCTAAATGATCCCCTTCCAACTTCAACCAACTCTCAGGAGGGAACGAAGCTTCCCCAACTCCTGCAAGTTCCCTCACTCCTCCAGAATCTTCTCATCAAACTAAGACCCCACCTCCCCAGAGAAAAAAGCCCTGCTAGGACATTTAATCAGCCAGTCTGCCCCTGTTATTAGGGTCAATTTGAGCACTATTTGGTCTATATTTTAGCTATGAAACTATGACTACAGAAAGAGAAAGATGATTTTTGACAGTTTGGCCACAATATTCTTTAGAGTCCAGAGAAAATTGGTTAAAATAAACTTTTTTTGAAATTGCAAAACCAGTTCTTTTTGCATGTGCAATGAGAAAAAGCTAGCTTGTTGAAATATTTTTTTTTTTCAGAATCCTGACCCTGAGAGAACACAAATATGCCTAGGAGAAAGCTTGAAGTGAATTCTTATCATGTCCTTGAGATACAAACACAGCCCACTTTGCCTGAGACTTCAGCTTTGGGTTAATTAGTAGAACTTCAAGCGAGGGGAAAGAAAGGGGCAGAGACATTTTAAGCCCCAAGTGGAAAACTATGAGATCTGTGTTTGTCTTGATACATGTGTGTATCTCAGTATGTGTCTTTGTCTTTGGTTAATGTTGCTGACGTTAATTTGTAAATGAGCTCGATTTCATTGACTTAAAAGTAAGCGCTTACAAATCAAACAATTCTAAATACAAGGGAAATTAAGCTAACCGAATTCTAGGTTCTCGTGAACTGGGAAATATTCAGTATTAAATTAATACCTGGTATTAACGTTTCTTGAACAAATTAATACAGATATGTCTTTAGAGTCATCAAGTATAATAGTTTTATTGTGCCTAGGTTTAATATAAACTAAATAAGATCCTATTATATCTGTTGCAAATTTGTCAGCAATGAAAGTAACTTGATGTGAAGAAATTTTTAAGACAAGAAAATACAAATGAGATAAGAGCTCTGGGTAAACTTTTTAGGAATAAGTATGTTTTAGGAATGTCAACTTAAGAATAATCCTTCCAGATGCTCGAAAACTTGAAAATTTAGAGTTGTGCTAAATTAAGTTAAATGATGGAAGTTTATTGAATAACTAGGCCATTTCCAAATAAAATAAGATACTAAAACATCCCAAGGAGAGATATTAAACTAATTAGGTTCATTGGGTATGTTAAATTACATGGGAAGTATTGTCAAATGAGTAATAAATCTTCTTAGGTTATATTATATGGTAAATGTTACTAATATAGATACTCTAGAAATTATATGGGATTCCTAAAGTTCTGATATGTCCCGGTAAAATGTTATCAGTCATAAATCCAGTTATTATCTTAAGGTGTTGTATGTCACAGCAGTAGCCAAGTTACTTTGTCAAATTACATTACATTGTAATCAGATTTTAAATGTGTCTTCTTAAGTCTTTTATCATTATAGACAGTTATGGTTTTATTCTGATGCCTTTGCAAAAACACTTCCTCTTCAAGAAGATTTATAGAAAGGGCTTTTGATAAATACAGGTTTCTGACTTGTACTGAACTGGGTAAGAAATTGAAGAATTCTAGAAAAAACCTGATGGCTTCATAAAAAGTTAACAAAAGAACTAAATGAACTGGTGAATATGGTTATAATTTTATGGTTTCTATCTGAAAAATTACTGGTTTGAATCTATGTTTTCCAGGTGTGAGGAAAACCTTCCCATCAAGCAAATTATGGCTTACAGTAATTTGGTAAATTATACTTTTGTAAGCAGAATTGAAACATTTATATTTTCCCTCTGCCTGCTCCCTCCAGAGATTGGAAACTCTTAGGTTCCCAACAGCTTTATCAGATAAATTAGGAAGGCTACATCACTAACAGGTACAGAAATCTCAAGTTATTTTGGGGACCTTGAAAAGGAAGGAATTCACCTAAATCTGGTAAGCGAAATCTGTGACAAGCCCTTGGTGTGACTTTCCTGGTCCTGAGAGGTCTTTTAAAAGTTTAGTCTGAGACTCCCTATAAAAATTTCAGTGAGCAAAAAGACTGTATGATCGATTACAATTATATAAACCATCAGGCCATGTTAATTGAGAGTAGACTGAAATTTGATTCTCTCTCTCTGTTAAGAGAACAAAATTTTCTTGGAATGCTGCTTTAATAACAGACTATGTAAATTTCTTTGCCTTTAAGTGATTTGTATTTGCTTTTAAAATCTTTTGTTACTTTGGTAAAGTAAATAAGTATTATTTCACAATGATCTATGAAGATTTTGGCACATGTAGATAAAGTTCATCCTGCTTCTACAAAAATTAACCCCCCATTGTCAGACTTTTGCCATCCTGATGTCTTTGTAACGTGGCAATGGCCTACTCCTAAGTCAGAGAATTTAAAATGAGTTAAAAATTGCTGTAAATCAAAGAGTCAGGGCTATGGAAAATCCAAGACGGCTGCTTGGCTTTTTCCAGCTCCATGACAAACCTCATTTTTATGTGATGGGTTAAAGCCTTCCCTGGCTGCAGGGTTAATGCCCTCACAATGGAAACAAAAAAATTATGCTTCAATGAATATTAAATTCTAGTTTTGTTAATTAAGGTCTGTGTTTACCAAGACTCACTTTCTGATAGTTCCTTGCTGTTATGTTATACTGCTAACAAGTGTAATAGAATTATTAAAGGACACTCTAAGTTTGTTTCTAAAGCTTATCTCAGTAATCTGTCTTTGGATGAAGATCAGATGCCCCAGACCTATAACCAGGGGATTATGCATATTGGAAAAGACATAGTTTTTTTTTTTTTGCGGTATGTAGGCTTATCACTGCTGTGGCTTCTCCCATTGCGGAGCACAGGCTCCGGACGGACGCGCAGGCCCAGTGGCCATGGCTCACAGGCCCAGCCGCCCCACGGCATACGGAATCCTCCCAGACCGGGGCACGAACCCATGTCCCCTGCATCGGCAGGCAGACTCTCAACCACTGCGCCACCAGGGAAGCCCTGGAAAAGACATAATTTAAAGGACTATCTCCAACCTGGATGGAAGGACCCTTATCAGGTAGTCTTAACTAGCTCATTCACAGTGTAACTAAAGGGAATTAACTCTTGGATTAATTTTCACTCACAAAGTGCCCCTGTACTGGACTGACCTTTAGAGAGGTTGCCTGATCTAAAAATCACCTTAAAACAATGCTCAAACAAGGAAACTGTACTCACACCAGGATGAAAAGATGACAATCAGAGTAGACAGACCAGGGCTTCCCTGGTGGCGCAGTGGTTGAGAGTCCGCCTGCCGATGCAGGGGACGTGGGTTCGTGCCCCGGTCCGGGAGGATCCCACATGCCGCGGAGCGGCTGGGCCCGTGAGCCGTGGCCGCTGAGCCTGTGCGTCCGGAGCCTGTGCTCCACAACGGGAGAGGCCACAGCAGTGAGAGGCCCGCGTACCGCAAAAAACAAAACAAAACAAGAAAACGATGATATATAGTTTCATATGAGATCAATGATTGAAATAGTGTAACTCTAGATATGGGAAGAAGCTACAAGAGGGAATATTGTCCTGGACCATAAGAGACTATGAAGACAGGTGGTCCAGAGACTTTGGGATGCTAGTAAAGGCCTAGTCCCGTGATAGCACATCGAGTGGCCTATCAGAAAAATCTTCGCCAGACCTGGGAATGAGCATTCCTAGCACAGTGAGATGAAATGGTCATGAACTGCTGCCCCAAAACCATGGTCAAATTTATTACCATGAAGGGGCCCTGCTGACTAGAAACTAGCACTTGCCACCTACCTCTACAAAGATTAAATCATGGCCACTGCAGCTGGTGACCTTCAACACCCCCTGAAAGCAGTTCAGGGTGGAGATCAGGAATGAGGCCCTCTGTGCTCTGGGAAAAACTGGCAGAGCGGGCCTTCAGATAGATATTTTCAGAAAAATTTTCATGAGCCCAAATTCTTGCATCTTCTCATAGCTAGAAAAACACTAAAATTGTTAACGGTGACCACTGCTTTGGTTTATGTGTTAATACCACATCAAAGGTTAAAACCTAGTTGGATAAACCTAGACAACTGGCTACCTGGCTTAAGTGATCTGTATTTTTTTTTAATCTTTTTGTGACTTTGGTTAAATGAGTAAGTACTGAGTCACAGTGACCTGTGATCCTGTTGTGTTTTAAAACATTTTTGATATTTTTAACAAACTTCCGCAATATTAAAATCCAACTAAAGCTCTTTTAGCCTACAGCTGACTCTGGGATGTTTTGAAGGAACATCCTGAGACATCTCAGAGATGAATGTTAAACTAATTAAGTTTATCGGGTATGTTTAATTACTTCAGAGACATTGTCAAGTGATTGGAGATGAACCTTAGGTTACAGCGTATGGATAAATGTCATTAATATAGATATTCCAAAATTTATATGGAATCCCTAACATCTGATATGCCCTGATATAATGTTATCAGTCATAATTCTAGTTATTATCCGAAAATGTTATGTCACAGAAATATCCAAGTTTCCTGCCAATTGCATTGTACTCAGATCTTTAACCATGCTATTTTAAGTTTTGTCCTGATGCTTTTACAAAATGAAGATTTTTAAGAAGACTCATAAAAAACAAATACAAGTTTCTTTTTTTTAAAAAATTAATTTATTTTTGGCTGCATTGGGTCTTCGTTGCTGCACGTGGGTTTCCCTAGTTATGGCGAGCAGGGGCTACTCTTCGTTGCGGTGCACAGGCTTCTCATTGCAGTGGCTTCTCTCGTTGCAGAGCATGGGCTCTAGGTGCACAGGCTTCAGTAGTTGGTGGCACGTAGGCTCAGTAGTTGTGGCTCGCGGGCTCTAGAGCACAGGCTCAGTAGTTGTGGTGCATGGGCTTAGCTGCTCTGCAGCATGTGGGATCTTCCTGGACCAGGGTTCGAACCCATGTCCCCGGCATTGGCAGGCGTATTCTTAACCACTGCGCCACCAGGGAGGGAAGTCCCCAAATATAAGTTTCTGATTGCCTTTAGATAATACCACTGAACTCTGTAACAAGACCTGATCACTTCATCCAGACCAACAGGGATCAGTTACATGGGCTGAAGGACTGATGAACACGATTTATAACTTTATGACTTTGGGAAATATACTAGCTTTAATCTTTGTTTTTCAGAAAAAACCCTTCTCTCTTATGCTATGATGTACAACAAGTTGATAAGGTATACCTTTGTAAACAAAGATGAAACATTTATCTTTTTCTCTCTACCTGTTCCTGCCAAAATTTGGCCTCTCCAGCTGGCCCTCCTGTGGACTTGATGGTTTATTGCAACTGGATTACAACTCGTTATACTAATAATTGTTTTAATTTGTTCTTTGTTTCCAAATTGTTTGTACTTCGTGTCTCCCTGCTGCACTAAGACTTTGTCAATATTACCAGCTGCATTACTTATATCCTGTCTATTTTATAAGATTGTCGTCTCTCACAGTACCCAGTGTGTAACCAGGCCTCCAACAAAATTGATGATGGCTAAACATCTTGAGGAAACAGATCACATTTATGACTCTTATAGAATAACTGTAATAGTGTGATTCTAGGTACGGGAAGGAGCAAAAAGGGAAAACATTTCCTGGATCATAGTAGACTAGTAAGACAGACGATCCAGAGAATCTTTAGTTATCAACAGGGCCTAATCTGGAAACTAGCACCTGGAGTGACACATCAACAAAAATGTTCACCCGATCTGGGATGCGCCTCCCAGTGCCGTGGGACAAAATTTGGTCATGAAATGTCTCCCAAATATTGGTCAAATTTCCAACCAAGAGGAGGATCTGAGAAATGCAGTATTTCCCGCTACATCAGTAAACAAAGGATGCCACACTCGTCAGTGATTGCAGCCACCACTGATGTGAGCCGGTGAGCCCTGAGGGAGCTCAGGAAGGAAAGAATACCTGCCTTTGAGCAGCCATCAGACTGCAGCCACTCCCCACGGTGAGCCCTGAGGAAACTCAGGATGTGAAAACGTAGGATATTGGCCCCAGACAGCTGAGGTGCATATCAAAAGAAAGATTTCAGTGAGCCCAGACTCTTGCATCTTCCCATACACAGAAAGGCACTAAGTTCCTAAACTTGGAATATCTGGTTTTCTTTAATTAACAATAATCTTTTGATGTTCAGACCACCTGCCCTTGGTTGCCAAACTTCTGTATAACCTGGCTCCCCGCTCACCTTGTCGGAGCAGTTCTTTCAGGGTTATTTGACATGCTGCCTCCTGGGTTTGAAGTCTTAAGAATTCCCGCTGAATAAAACATAACTCTCAACTTTTAGGTTGTGAATATTTTTTAAGTCGACAACTGGAAGGAAAAGGAACCACTGGGCACTTGATGGGGACAGAACTGAGGCCAGCCTGGTGCTCCGTGACAGCTCATTTGCAGACAAGTCCGGTGTGGAAGGCAGCTCCCTTCCATCTGGCAGAAGATGCTTTCTCTGGTCCCCACTTCCCAGGCACCTCTGAACCGAACAGGAGGGGAGACCACCGAGTGGCCGCCCTTCAGCCCTTACGTGCCCTCCGTGTGGCTTTGGTGCGGTCACTGCGATGATCTGAGGTGTCTCTGGCAGTCACGTCGGTGGGAGCACTGAACCGTGGGGAAAGGGCAGGGCCGACTGTGGGCCTGGGCGGGAGAAGCCTGGCCATCAGAGCTCCTCTTTGTTGCTGTCGAAGGGTGAGACCGGAGGCCCTGGAGCCAGAGGGTGCTGTCCTGGCCCGTGGTCGCCAGGTTGCTGGCCGCTGTCCCCCCGGCCCACAGTGGCATAGTCCCACAGGAGCCCGCTCTCCACGCCGTGCTGGCGGAGGCTCTCAGTTCCCACGAGCCCCTGTGTTCTCAGGTATCCCTGCTGGCAAAAGGGTGGCAGCTTCTGGCGTGTTAGGGCGAATAGGAAACAGGACTCTGCACAAAAGCAAGAGGAGACCGGGCTGAGAGGTGTGGGGAGAGGTGCAAGGGGAGGGGGTGCCAATGCCCCAGGGGCCTCACCCGGTTCCCTCCATCCCCTGAGCCTGGGAGCTGACTTTTCTGGGTATCTCACGTCTGACCTGGGTAGCCGTGGATCTCATCCCTCCCTGAGGTTCCAAGACTGGGAGGCTGCCTCAACATTTTGGAAAAACAAGGCTCCAAAGGAAAGGAAAGCAAACCAAAGAGACGGCTCAGCTCCCAGAGGTGGGAGGCCCGCATGCTGCTGTGTGTGGCGCCAGCGGGGTGGGAGCTCGGCCACCCAGGAGCAGCCCCTCAGCCTTCTCTTCCAGGAGCCACCCCGGGGGGGCTGGGAACTTGGTGGTCAGTTCCACTTTGAGCTCCGAGTTCCCTGCAAAGATTTATCCCCTCAACGATGTCTGAGCTGCAGATACTGTACGTAAGCACGATTGTAAGCACTGTGGGGGACGTAAAGACAAAACTGCTGGACCCTCGTCTGTGCCACAGCAGAAAGTTGGTGTGTAGGTCAAATCTGATCAATGAAGAAAGAGCTGTGGATACGTGTTATTTAGAAATATTAAGAGACAACCAGAAGAACTAGAACTCATTCCTTCTGGGGAATGGGAGTGGAAGTGGGTAAAAAAGCCTTTTAGCCAAGTACTTATATAACTTTGACTTAAAGAATAGAAAGGATGAAACAGAGGTGGGCTCAATCTTCTAAGGGATTTAGAGACAGGATGGGAAGATAGAGTGAGTGTCAGAAAACCATCTTGAGTCTCTTGCCTCAGTGAATGGGCACATTACCAAAGGACACTGTAAGGCTCACACGAGTGATGAGGCTGTGAGGTGCCACAGGAAAACTATTTCCTACTTTACCTCTGACTTGTAGTACAGAGGGCCCCTGCCAGAAGGGTCCATGACCATCCTCTCTGAGCAGGGACGGCAGCAGATGTGGGAGAGGATGGAGAGGGGCAGTAAGGTGGCCTTTCAGCAAGCACCTCCTCCTATGACATACGTCACCCCTTCTGCAGGGGCCGGGGGTGGAGAAGCCCAGCACATCTGGGTCCAGAACTAGCGGCTGCACATCCACTAACCGGGTGGAGGGAAAGCCCCCCCTCTGCCAGCTGGCCCTTTGTGGGGAGGATTCCTTCAAGTTCAAGGCAGTGACACTCAGTGGCCTGTACTGTTGAGTCTATCTAGGGAGGAGGAGCCAGGAGGCTGCAGGGCCTGTGATGATGGGTTGGCAGGAGCCATAACTCAGGGTAGGAATACACTCCCTAACAGGCACTGGCATCTCTGTGTACTCCTGAAACCTCGAGAAACAGACAGAGGTTTTGCAGCTGAGGTCTCCAGATCTATAGTGGGTAATTTCATGTGTAAGTGTATGGTCAGAGTTTATGTCTGCAGAATGCTAGTACTTCAAAGCTGCTTAGCTCTGCTCTATGAACTACCCCTGTTTGAGCATCTACACGCATTTAGACTATTAACTTAAAGTATTGTTTTAAGCCATCCCCCTTAACATATACATTTTTATTTCAAGGTAGACTGAGGGATGAAAGAAGGACACTTGCTCTCTGACCCGTAGGCCAAGGACTGACCTTCTCTAACCTGGTTTGATATGAATAGTGCGTGAAATACAATCACTGTTCAACAGATGTTTGCTGGACAGAAAAAAGGAGTGGGTATCCTGGTAATTCAGGGGGTTAAAAAAAAAAGACAAAAATTTGTCTTGTTTTTGTCAGTTCTTCCTGTGGATCGTGAGACTTCTCTCTCCCCAAGTCCCTCTCTGGGTTTGACTGTCAGAGCTATCTTCCATCCAGTTCACCAATTTTCCCTTCATCTCTGTCTAATGTGCTACTAACCTTGACATTGAGTTTCCAATTACAAATTTGTATTTTCATTTCCAGAAGTTCTATTTGGACCTTTCTCAAATCTGCCCAGTCAATTCTGGTAGTCCTACCCTTTCATTCTATTTTCAGTAATCTCTCTTTTATTTACTTACAGATTTTGGACATACTTTACATCCTCTCTCTGACCATTCCATTTCCCACAGTCTTTGTAGGTTTCATCCTACAGTGTGTTGCTTCTGCTGACACTCCCTCATGGTAGTTTGTATCCTTATGTGTAAGTGATTTCTGCTTGGGAGTTCATGTTCCTGGGAACTTTATCTGGGGGAATTCTTTGAGGCCTAGTTTTAAGGTATGTGTCCTCACAGAAGACTCACACTGACTTCTGTGATTTCTGCACCACAACGATAGTGTGAACTTTGGCCCCAAACTCACATGACTGAGGCCTAGTGGATGGAAATTCTCAGGGGAGATTTTCCCCCCACTCTACCCAGAGCCAAAAAGCGTGCGTCTCCTCTCTCTCTCGGGAGTGCTTTCTGCCTTCTACTTTACCTACTGAGATCCCAGCTCTATTTAAAGGTCTCTGTACGGACATCCTACCCTGCTCCAGCCTCGTCTTCCCAGCTCCAAGTGCTGGTCAGTTACCCGGGCTCTAGGCCACTGACAACCAGCAGGTATCTCTCATCCAGCGGTGGGTTTGTGCTTTTCTTGGTGTTTGGCCTCTGGGGTGTTCCCTTATTTTCCTGCCGGTTTTTAAAAAAAGACATTTTATTCAGTGTTTGCAGGTGTGCTGTACTGGGAGGGGGTTTCTGTGAACACCGAGTCCTCCCGTCGTAGGAGATGGAAGTCTTGGGTCTGGGTTTCTAGACGCACATCCTAAAGTTCCACAGGGCACGGATCTACCTGGTCTTCTTCACCCTCCAGCTCAGCCCCTTTGTCCTTCGGGAAACTTAAGTTACCTGCATAGAAGCTCCGGAGATCGGTGTCTAAGCAGTTCTCCAGGAAGCGCCTCAGGGGCAGAATGTGCCCCACCGGGGCCGTCCAGTCTGTCAGGAAATCTTCCACGATGTGGTGGATGGCCGTGGGCCGCGGCAGAGGCCAGCCTGCAGGGCGGAACCTCACCTCCTGCTCTGTGGGGAGGAGAAAGGGCGCCACGTCAGAGCCGAGCGCGGGGCTTCCGTTCCCAGGGCCACATCCCAGGTGCCTGCCCCCCAGCCCCTGGCGCTCAGCCTTCCTGATGCACCTCTGCATGGGCCATGGTCATGAGCCTGTTCAGCTGTCCTTCCAAATGTCTGGAAGGTGGACGTGAGGGAGAGGGACTCGACTAGACTCACCCCCGCACTGTCAGCGGGCAGAACTAGGACCAGTCACCTGAACTTGGTTTGCTTCTAAGACTTACGTGAGCTGAGGTCTATTGTGGCTGCTTTGAAACTGGCCTTTCTGTGAGGAGACTCGGGGTCCTGCATCCAAGGGGTCTTAGGGCCCCTCTAGTCCAGTTTCCTACCTGGTGCGTGCCCTTCTGTGTGTCCCTGCCACAGGGCACCAAGCCATGGCCATCCCTGCATCGGGAGACTCTGGGAGGTGGCCCATCCCACCCTCGGCAGCTTTCACGATGCGCTGCTCCTTTAGAGTGAACGTCAACCTGCGCTCCTGTCATTTCTACCTGTTGACACTACCTCCGCCCTTTGGAACGACCTCTAGTTTTAGATCATCCTCTTCCAGGGGACATCCCTTAAAGTTTGGAAGCAGGAGTCGTGTTCCCCAGGTTGGTCATCATTCGGTAGCTACTCCGTGCTGGGCACCATGCTGGCGTTGTGCTGTATCATCTCATTAACCCTCATCCTACAAGGAGGGTACCACGGCCACCCCCATTTCACACCCGAGCAAGCGGAGGCTCAGCGGGGTTAAGTAATGGTCCAAGGTCCCACAGCGAGGAAGGGACAGCCTGGGAACACTGCCCAGCCCTCCCACTCCCCTCCTGTGCTAACCAGTTCCCCTTCCCTTTCCTGTTCCTTCTAAGAGTCAGTCCCCAGAGCCCCGCTCCCCACTCCACGGTCAGCCTCCTCTGGAGACAGCAACAACAGTGTCCCTCTGACGACGTGGTGCCTGGAGGTGATCACGCCGCTCCACACGTGGCCTACCCAGGTCGACGTGTGGGCCAGAATTTGGGAATAGCATTTATCGTTCTTGGGCCCATTTAGGCTCTAGGCAGAGCCCCTAGAGGCCCCCCTTCTGTCAGCTGAGGGTGCTGCATGACAGCTTAATGGCGCTGGGGTCCGAGGAGTGCCCTCACTCGGGGGACAGTGGAGACCCAGCTCACCGGTGGGGAGGTGCCTATAGTAGTAGATGACAGGATGGAGGAAGTTAGACAGCCAGGCGTCTTCCGTGTGCCCCACAGAGCGGTCATAGAAGAAGACGTCCTTGTCGGGCCCAGAGAAATTCCGGCCATACTCCATATTGATGACGAAGAGCCCGTGCCTTGCCCTTCTTCCCGTGATTGTCTCCAGCTGGGCCAGCGCCTGCATGGGGAACTCCTCCAGGTACTCAAAAGCAGTGGCATTCCTGGGGACAGGGGCAACACGGCGTGGGTAAGACCCTCAGTGCTGCGGCAGAAGTACCAGACGTGGGCGTGCGTGCGTGTGGTGTGTGCGTGCGCCTGCCTCTCCTGCCTAGAAGCGCCCGTCAAACAGCGTACAGACACTGATCAGGCCTGCGCGTCTCACTTGAATATTACTGTTACAGCGGAGCCCTGACTTACACTGGGGAGAGAAGACAGAAGACGCTGAGTAACCTGAGTGGGTATCTAGGGAGAGGGTGAGCCAGGCTGAGAGACCAGTGATGGAGAAGCCCTAGGAGTGAGTGAACACCTTGGCATGTTCAAGGGACAGGAAGAAGGCCAGTGTGGCTGGAGTGGAGCGAGGGGGAGGGGAGGGGAAGTCGGCGGGGGCAGGTCAAGGAGGGCCGTGTGTGCCACGATGGGAATGTCGGGTGTCATCTGGGCTGGGAAGGGAAGCTGTGGGCCTTGGGAAGACAGTGAACAGAACTGAATTCTAGTGATTCAAGTTTTAAAAGAATCACTCTGGATCTTCCCTGGTGGCGCAGTGGTTAAGAATCCGCCTGCCAATGCAGGGGACACGGGTTCGAGCCCTGGTCCGGGAAGACTCCACATGCCGCAGAGCAACTAAGCCCGTGCGCCACAACTACTGAGCCTGCGCTCTACAGCCCACGAGCCACAACTACTGAGCCTGCGTGCCACAAGTACTGAAGCCTGCAAGCCGAGAGCCCGTGCTCCGCAACAAAGAGTAGCCCCAACTCGCCGCAACTAGAAAAAGCCCGCACGCACCAGCAGCCAAAAAAAAAAAAAAAAAAGAATCACTCCGGCCACCATGTTGAGAGCAGACCACGGGGTCAAAGGTGAGAGGCCGCTATATCAGTGCAGGTGAGAGATGCTCATGGACCAGACCAAGGTGGCAGTGGGGGGGCTAGTGAGAGGCAGATTCTAGACACAGTTTGAAGGTAGAGCTGATGGGACCTACGGATGCTGTGAATGGGTATGAATGAGAGAGGAGTCGAGGGTGATGGGGGTTTTGCTCTGAGCACCGCTGAGTTTCCTGCAGGTCCCCGAACCCGATGCGCTGCTGCACTCACTGGCTTTGGAGCAGGCTGTTCCCTCTGAGGCGTCTCACCTGCCCCGTGTCCTTTCAGAACCAGCCCCACTGCTCACTGCCCCCAGCTCTTCTTCCTTCCCTGCTCTGCGTGGTTTCTTCCTCAGGGAGCGTCCTCTGTGATCTGCTACTCATCACTTGATTGACAAGGAGCCGACATGGTCTGGCCCAAGGAGCTCTTAAATCCACGCAGGTGGTGATCCGTCATCACTGCCGTTCACTGCTCATCTGTTTGGTACCAGATGCTTTTCTACCAGTTATCTTTACTCCTTCCTACAGTCCTGCGAGGTAGGTATTATTAGCTCTATATTGCAGGTGAGAGAAAGGCTCAGAGAGGCTAAGTAACTTGCCCCAGACCACACTGGTGGAAAGTGGCAAAGCTGCAGTCACACTCACGTCTTGTCTGTCTCTCTGTCAGCAGAGCTTGTGGTGTTGTCGTCACTGGTTTCCCCAGAACAGACTGATCCCCAGCCTCCCTGCCCACCCCACCAGCCATCTTCATCTTAGGAAAGAACCTCTGGACTCTTCCACACATGCAACAGGAAGAGAGGAGCACGACGGCGTGGGAGGGGGAGGGGCAGTGGGAAGGCGAGGGCTGACTACTTACTCCCCCAACAGGACCACGTCGGCCAGCACACTGAACATCTGGTAGAGCCCAGAAGCCTCGTTGACGCGCCGGATGATGGCACTGGCCAGCTGTGTGATGGGGTGCTCGGTGGAGGGCCAGGTGACGCCGTGATGGCGCTGCTCCAGCAGCCGGTGGACGGCACGCACTGAAATGGCCAGATGGAGGAATGGCATGCTGCCCTTAAGATGTTATCTTTCACCTCCGGGGCGGGGCGGGGGGAGGGACGCAGAGCCCCACCAGCTCTGCACTCAGGACACGCTTGTATTGCGCGGCTCCAAGAAGGTGCCTTTAGAGCAGGGTCCTCACGTGTGTTCTGAAAGGGGCTGGGTGGGAAGTGTTTCTGGCTTTGCAGCCCAGACGATCTCTCTCACTTGACTCAATTCTGCCTCTGGTGGGAAAGCAGTCATAGAGGACCGCGAAATGAACGGGCACGGCTGGATTTGGTCCCCAGGTCCGAGACTGCCCACTTCTGCTTTAGGCCATCTGCATATGGAAGTCCTGCCACTGTCACCTCACATGTGACGCGTCCAAACCGGACCCAGAGCCTTCCACTGCAATCTCTCCCCACCCCACAGTCCCCACGTCTATGGGAGACTCCCAAATGGAAACCCTCTGACTGCTCCCTCTTGTTCACAGCCGAAACCCACATCTGTTACTAAGTTCTACTTTGAGATGCTCTGTATATTTCTGGAAGGGTAGAAAAGCAACAGCTATCTCACACAACAGGGGGACATTTTCTGTGTACCTGGGGCTGCCCTTACACAGCGGTGACACTGGGGCACCACACACAGGTGCCTGCTCCTCGAAATGAACCAACACAACACCCAAATCCAGTACCAGCGAGGACACAGACAGACAGTTCACGTGATGGGAGACTGGGTCGACCAACGGTCACAGGAAAGGATGTTCAGCCTCACGAGACAGACAGACAGACATCTGGTTCTCTGAAGGAAACAAGGTTATGCTGCGTTTTGTGAAAGGATGAGGAATTACACAGCTCGGGAAGGGTGGGAAGGGGGCCTGACAAAATAAGCATCGGTGCAAAGACATAAAACCTCGAGAAACTGGCACATTCTGAAAAGGAGGCGAGGGCCAGGCTGGGCAGGCGAGCTGGTGCCGGCTGCACGAAACTCTGGATACCATGCCGAGGACCTGGCTGGGGAGCCCCTGGAGGTTTTCCTGTTTAAAGAACAGTGTTCTGGTGGGTACCGGAGTGGCTGGATGGGAAGCCAGAGGGACCAATGGCAGGAAGACCAGTGGGGAGAGACCAAGAGGTCCCAAGTCAGGCAAGTGAGGCTGGGATGGACTGGAGAGAGACAGGAGGGGGAGGGGCAGGGTTCCCAGCAGGCCCTACCTTCTGAGGTTACCATCTTTCATCTTGCTTTCCTCTGCCTTCCTGTTTTCTACTTGTCTCCCTTGGGGGCCTCTTCTTCAGCTGAATGATGAGCAAGGTCGGGCAGGATGTACTGTGTACAGCCACACTGCCCCTCCCTCTAGTGGGGTCCCCAGCTAGTAGGAGTGATCACAGCTCTTGGTGGCCTGTCCATCCAGGATTGTTTCCCATTTGCCTGAAGCTTAGTGGTCAGCTGGGAGCCTCAAAGTCAGACAGGTGTGGATTCAAATGTCACCTCTGCCATCCACTGGCTGGGTGACTTTGGGTAAGTGACTTAACTTCTCTTGTGCCCCAGTTTCCTTCTACGAAAAATGGAGTTGAAATAACAAGATGTCTCTTATGGGGCTGTTGGGAGAATTAAGAACGTGAGCTGGGGAAAGATGAGAGGACAGAGGGAAGCAAGAGGGATGGGGCAGTACCTGTCAGGACAGCAGGTGCAGGAAGGGTGACATGCACGGGAACGTGAGGAGGGTTTCTTGCTGGGGACACAGCTAGAGAAACAGACTCTTCCCATTCTGTGTAAGTGTGTGTGTTCCATTTGCAAATATTTTGGTAAACAGACAGCTGACATTCTCGGTTTCTTTCCCTGACAACGTGCAAAGGGTATGAAACATATCGCCCGGAAATCAACAGTAAAGCATGATTATCTTTCCCTGTCAAACTGGAAGGAGAGTGAAATGCAAAAAGTAGCATTAAGGCAAGTGAGGCATCACATTAAATATAGAAACATCAGGATGAAGGATCCTTATAGTGTTTTTTTTTGCGGTACGCGGGCCTCTCACTGTTGTGGCCTCTCCCGTTGCGGAGCACAGGCTCCAGACGCGCAGGCTCAGCAGCCATGGCTCACGGGCCCAGCCGCTCCGTGGCACGTGGGATCCTCCCGGACCGGGGCACGAACCCGTGTCCCCTGCATAGGCAGGCGGACTCTCAACCACTGTGCCACCAGGGAAGCCCCCTTATGGTGTTTTTATGGTCAAGTTAACTGGCCCATGTAACACTCGTCATGCAATAAAGCACCCATCCAATGGGCTACCCAGAGCGCAGAAAATTGGTGCCCTTAGTACTGAGAGTTTTGAAAAAGAGCTGATATAATCTAGTTGCAACTTTTATTGAAATTTGTTGGTACCCAAAGAGTCTACGTGTACGTAATGCTTCACAGCTCCACAGTCTCCAGATATTACCTTATTTAGTCCTTACAACAGCTCTATGGGATGAAGAATTCACCTCATTTACAACTCTGACATCTGAGAGGGGCAACAGAGGCTTAGGGAGGTTATGAAGCCTCACCCCTGAGACCACGCAGCTGCTTCCCCAGGTTAGCAGTCCTTGCCAATCATGGTGATGCGGGTAACACGCCACCCCCAGACGTACTTACTTTTACACCTTAACTGGTACTTCTCTAGATGTGTCCTCGGAACGCGAAAGCCCACTGCTGCCTGCCCCGCAGGGAATTTATGACCATCAGCTACTGTTAAACCTGCTTTAAGGGAATCAGGCGTCTCTTTACAAACCCTGGGCACAGCGGCCCTCTCTGCCGGGCTCACCTGTGTATCGGAATCCATGGATGAAGCCCCCAGCAGATTTCCGGTAATCCACGGAATGGCTGGCAGTCCCCAGGACAAAGAGGCCCCGGCTCCCTTTGGACTCATAGCTGGCTTTCACCAGGGGGTACTTCTTGCTGAGCTCACCCCCTGCAGAGAGTCGGAGGGACCTGTGAGTGGAAAGGGCTGTGAATAAAAATCGCTGCTATGTATGAAACACTTTTTACAGGCTTGGCACTGAGCTAAGTGCTAACATTCCTGCTCAAATTTAAACCGCACCGTGACCCTAGGAGGCAGGTATGATGATGTCCATTTAACAGACAGAGTAACTGAGGTTCACGTTAAAGACGTGGTGGGTCAGGGACAGAGCCAGGATTCAAGCCGCACTGGAGGCCGGGCTCTGGGTCCCTGTGTGACCTGATGGCACAGGAGGTCTGTTCAAGCCCTCTGGCGTCTCCTTGTCCACCTGGGCCTTGACCAGAGGGCTTTGCTGAGAGATCCAGCTCCTCCCCTCTGTTCGGACTCACTTGCTGAAAATGGAGAAGTCGAAGCTCCAGCCCAGGCAGCGGATGACCCGGTCGTAGGCCACGCGCAAGGCGAAGTTGTCGTTATCGTCCTGGGGGAGGGGGACGGCGTCGGCACTCCGGTCGCCTTCCTCCAGGAAGAACTTCAGGGTGACGTGGAATTTGCCCTCGTGGTCCTTCACAATGGCCAGATCCGTCAGGTCAGACTCGAGCAGCCCGTCCAGGGACTTCAGTTGGTAGGTGTCCAACAGGCCATTGTTGATGGCCCTGGGGCCCAAGGGGAATGTCAGGAGAGAGAAAGACGTCTGTGCCGGGTAAGGAAGCCTCAGGGGCCAGGGTGGTTAGTCGGGCGGGGGTCAGGGGCTGGTAGCACAGCACACACAGTACCTGCCCAGCATACCTGAGGTCGCCGACGTAGTGGGTGGCCCAGGAGAGCCGGACCCGGGAGCGGCTCAGCATGTGGATGAAGTTGGTGACACCCAAGATGTTCTCCGCCGTCTCAAAGGCCGAGTTCCCCCGGCCCAGGATCAGCACATTCTGACCCACGAAGTCCTTGGGGTCCACGGACACGGACTCATAACCATCCACGTATTCGGAGCCAGGGAAGTCAACCTGGTTGGGGACTGACAAGCCAGTGGCCACGAGAAGGACGCTGCAGGTGGGGGACAGAGGGAGGATGGCTTAGCCTCTTAGCTATGAGACCACGAAGTGAAAAATCCCTCTTTGGACCTGCCGCCTGGCTCGCCCGCCTCACCCAGACTGCTGGCTCCTAAAAGAAAGCAGGTTGTTCATTTATTCACCCACCTCCTGACCTGTCCCAGTGCATCTGAGACCTTACCCTGGCCTCTCACTGAGTGATCCAGTGGGTGCAGTTTCCTTTACACCTTCCTGGGATTATACCAAACGTGAGAATTAGTTCTACTTTCTGACTTTGGAGAGGGTGACGCCATGAGAAATCGATTAATTCACTTAGTTTTGAACATGGCAGCCTCACCAAGTACCACCCTAGTCATGAAAATGAAACTAGACGTTCTGCTTCCCCCTCTCGTACTTGCGTGGCAGAAGCAGGATCTGCTGAGTGGTGATTCTGTACGAGGCCCTGTACTAAGTGCTTTCTGCCTCATCTTACTGCTCAAAGCAGCTCTGCATTGGTGTTATTCGGCCTGCTCTACAGGCGAGGAGATGCAGGCTCCACGTGGGCCCACGACCTCCATAGCTCCTTAGACAGCAGAGCCAGAATCTGACCACAGGTCAGCCTAATTCCAGAGTCCTGCTCTTTCCACTGGTGGGGATTACAATCCCGTGGTGGACAGGCTGGGAGCCGGACCCTGCCGGCCTGCAGAGGAATGGTTTGATCACAAGGTAGTTTAGAAAACAGGACCGGGTGGCCTGGAGGAGGGGCCTGGGCAGCCTCTGTGGCCCCTTGCTTTTTGGCCTGTCCATTTGTTCACATCTGAATCCCCTACACTGTAGCACTGCTGCCTAAGATGCGAGGGTCCAAATTGACCCAACCCTTCTCTCCTTGGGCTGTAACAAGCAAGGAGCAAGGCTGAGCCTCTGGCAAAAGGCATGAGAAAATGAACCGTGATCGAGCACCTGCCTGGAGCCAGGTGCTAGGCTGACGGCCGGGAACGGAGAGGCAGTCGGGCACAGCGTTAAGAACACAGGCTTCGGAGTCAGGAAGATGTGAGCTCAAGTGGCAGGTGCACCCCTTATTAGCCGTGTGACACGGCACTGGTTACTTAACTTCTCTGAGCCTCAGTTCTTCATCCGTAAAATGGACATCAGTGAACCCCCCTCAAAGGATCCTTGTGAGGATTAGACAAGCACGGTATAACATATAACTCTGAATCTGGGTTCTCTAGACTATGCTAAGCTTTCTCCCAAGTCAAAGCGAGCTAAAACTGAATCCTGGCAGCACCGCCTATTGGCCCTCCCTCTCATTCAGTTCAGAAGTCCTACTGAGCCTGTCTAACACTTGCTGGACACTTGCCAGTGTTTCTCAGAATGTATTTGGGGGAACACAAGTTCTAGGAGATGCTCTACAAAAAGGGTCTTGTGGGTGCATAAGCTCAGACAATGCTCAACACCCAATGCTGGAGTCCTTCAGTGAATGTGGAGATACTGAAGTCTGAAAAATCCTGGAGGAAAGAAATGGTCAGAATTTTCAAGTATCTCTGAGTACATACATTTCTAGGAAACACTTGGGAAATGATGGCTGAACTGAACCTCTTAGCACTGGATTTCAGTGGGAGCAAGGATGGGCAGAAATGCCTCCTTTCTCCCACATCTACGGGCCAACCAATGGGTTTCCTTCTTCCAGGGAAGGCACTGGCTTCAGCAGGTGAGCTCTGGAGCCCGGTTCCTTACCTACACTGGTATGCCTGGCCCTTCTGGTCGGTCAGGATGAAGTAATGGCCATTCCAGGCCCGCTGATCCTTGTTCAGAGTGACGTGGGCAATGGTTGTGTTGTACAGCACGTGGAGCCCCAGCCGGTCTGCGAAGTCGCCCAGGTAGCGCACCATGTCTCCGGCATCGGGGAAGTAGGCGTTGGAGTAGTGTCTGAAGAGCAGCCGGGGATCGTGGCTGAGCAGAGAGTTCCAGTCATGGCGGAGGTTGAACTCGGCGTTGGCCTTGCCTGTGTACCGCTTGTTGATGCTGATGAGCTTGCGGTGCCGCGGGTAGCGCGTGAAGAAGCTGCCCGGTCCCGGGGCGCGTTCGAACACGGCGTAGTCCCTGCCGGCCCGCTGCAGGAAGTAGGCCATCTGCAGCCCAGCGGGCCCGGCACCCAGGACACAGTAGTCCCGGTGCGCGGGCACCGAGGCCTGGGCGGGGCACGGGGAGAAAGCCGGGTGCAGGGCGATGATCAGGAGAAGCCCTGGGAGGCCCCACAGCAGGGCCGCGGCGGAGAGGCCCATCCTACGGCAGACCAGAGAGGTGAGGCCTCGGACCACGAAGGCCCCTCGACGCCCGCGGAGGTGAGCCAGGAACTGGGGGCCCAGAAAGGCAGGGGCTTGCCGGAGCGCTCACTGCGACCTGGGGTGCAGCCAGGACCAGAACCCAAGGACCTCTGAACTCATTTGCCCCGACTCCATCGTTTCAAGCTCGGATCTGGGCTCCCCCCAGGAGTCCCGAGCCCCTCCATCTCCCTCAGGACCTTAGCTCCCAAGGGCGCCAGACTCCTTATTGCCATGGTAATAAGAGGCTGGGTGTTTTCTCCAATTTCCCCTAATTCCAGGGATGCCCAACACCCCCCTAGGGCCTCCCAAGGCCAGACCCTCGAGGGTCACGTCTTTTGGGCCACGCCCCCGCGCTCCGGCCTCCAGCCTGAAGGAGGTGTGGTCTGCAGGCCCCCGTCCCACACCCGGGTCTCTTCGGTCACGTGACAGGGAAGCCCCGGCACACCTGCCCGGAGCAGCGCGAGGCCGCCCTCCTTCGGGCGCGCTGAATACGGGAGCCGCTCCCCACGCGTGCGCGGTGCCCACGCCCGCAGCTCCCGCCTCCCCGGCCCGCCAGCCCACCCCCCGCACAGAGCTCGAACCTCCCAGCCGCTCCGTAGACAGCCCGCAGCCAAGTCAGGCCGCACTCGGCCTGCCCGCGCCACCGCGGCGGCCCCGCCCATGGCAGGGGGCGGGGTCACGTGGCGGCGCGCGTCACGAGGGGCTGGGCTGTCGGGTTCTGGGCTCCGGGTCGCTCGCGAGAGCCGCGCACGTGCTGCTCCGCCGGCCGGCGCGTGCCGGCGCGTGGTGGCCCGACTGAAGATCAAATCTGGCAAGTGGCTTGGGGCTCTTAAAGCTGTGTCTTTCCACGTGTAAGGGAGGCACGGGAGCAGACGACTTTTGGAGATAATCGCAGCTGTTCCACTCCATTACTGTAGCCAAAGACTAGTTGGGTACTCAGTACTTTGGGACCGGAAACCAGGTTGATGAAGCCAGGACGGATAAACAAATTAACTGGTGTGTTCGCTACAATGATTCAGTCTGTTGTTTATTAAGAAACAGGACTGACTGGATCTTCCACCACAAGAGGAAGGCCAGGGATTGTTTCCAATATAATGTAAATAGCTGACTGGCCAAATGGAATTTAGGGGTGATTTGCTTAAGGTCACACAGTTAAGAAGTGGAGTGTGACATTAAAACCCCCCATTTATACTCCAAATTATGAGCTCTTCCAGAAAGCTCGAGGACTGTGACGAAGCTAGGGGAGGCCAGCATATCTGTGATTTTGATGAAGGGGATGTGCAATCAAGCACACATCTTGGTAGAAGGTTGCTGCAGTTCACAAGGAATTAATAGCTTAGTTAATGGTTTTAGTTCTTCTCTAAGTATGGGAAAACGCAAGAAACTGGGTTCAGAAGACTTTCTCTTGAAAATATGTCTGAGGGCTGGTTCTGCCACTTTTAGAGCAAAAAGCTCCTCCTCATTCTCAATTCCTTCAGGGTATACTGTAGGTCAGCAACTGCAGTGGCTAATGACTTGATTCTTGTAGAGCTGGGCGGTAGGTTACATTCTTTATTTGACAATTGCTTCCCTTTCAGTCTTAATTTCGACCAAGGTTTGGGAGGCATTCTGTGACTGACTTGTCACCTGGTGCTAGGAATGCTCATTCCCAGGCCAGGCAAAATTTACTGATAGGCCCCTCCACGTGCTGTTGCTGGACTAGGCCCTGTTAACAGTAGCCAAAAGCCTCCGGACCACCTGTCTTACTAGTCTGTTATGGTTCGGGAAATGGTTCCCGCCTGTTGTTTCTTCCCATATCTAGAGTCAGACTATTACAATCATTGATCTTATAGAATTGTATGTTTGTAATTGTTTCAAGTCGCCTAGTCATCATTATTTTTATTGGAGGCTCTGTCACACATTTGGTAGTGCAAGAAACAATACTCTTATAAAACAGGCAGAATATGTGTAATATAGCTAGCAACATGAATACGGTCATAAGTAAGTATTTAAGCTAAGAACTTTGATTAGGTGCAGGCCGTTATCTCCCCAGGTCACCTGACCAGTCTGTTCTGCCCCCATCACTGCCTTTAAGGGAAATGGCATATTGGCATTGTACATAAAGTTCACCAAGGATGTCTGTCTGCCAGTACAGGGCGAGTGGAGGGTCACTGTGACCCCTTACAGGATTGAGAAATGAATGTTTTCTTCCAAGGACTTGCTGGCACCAGAAGAAAAACTGATCTTACGGTTGAGCAGGCATTTCTGCCGTAGGGGAGATCTGGTCAATGCATAATGTGGGTGCACAATGCACACTAGAGGGGAGCAGGAGGTTGAAAGACAGAGAAAAGGTTTTATGTTGAAATTTTTCTTGTCTTGCCTTAAAATGTGAATTTTTATTTCATCATTGGTAATATAAACAAAGTGGCCTACGACAGTTCAGTGTAAAGACACTGAAACACAAATCCACTGCTCATGCCCAGCAGCGGTGGCCAAAGTAGAGGCAACATGGAGGATGACAGGATGACCCTGAACTGCCATTCAAGTGAACTGGATGACCAGGGCTGGCTTTCCAGAGGTGGGATGTGGATCCTGCATGAGATTTACATGGGTAGAACACAGCGCAAGTACAGGAAACCTCAAGGGGGTGTTAAAGTAGTCCTGTAAGACGGGGCTGAGGGTTCTGGTGGTAAGGCAGCCGTGACTAGTGTGGAAAAACCCTGTGATCTTCCAGCTTTGCATGGCTGGAGCTTCTTCTCATTCAAAGTCATCACTGAGACTTCTCTAGAAAAGTCCTCCTTGAGCTCTCAGACCTAAGTACCCCCTAAGGAATGCCATTTATCTGTTTTTTTCCTAGCCTATATCAGCAACAGAGAAAAGCTCCATTAGAGCAGAAATGATCTTATTCACTATAGTGGCCTCAAAGCTTCCATCAGCATCTGGCATACAGGAGGCCCTTAATAATCTGTTGAATAAACACTGAAACCAGACAGACCAAAAATGAAGTTAGGGAGGTCTACTTAATAGTTGTGAAGATTATGAGAATGGGTGTGGGCAGTTAATTAAGTACTTAGAACAGCTGCTGGTTGTATTTTGTATTGGGAAATTAGGGCTGATAAAATACGGCAGGGCCTTCAGACTAGGCTGAGCCTGGACTGTAGGCCGCAGGATGCGAGTGAAAGTTTAGAGTCAGGACTATTTACAGCAGCCAACTTGGTGGCCCCAAGCAAGACCAGATGGAAGTAGGGGATAGATGAAAGACATGAGGCATGTGGAGGCTGATATAAGATGTTTTTAGAGAATGAGACTGAAATTAACTTCCACCTGCCCACTTGCTCCAGCTAATCCTGCTGGGTTGCATCATGGGTCTGCAGGAGGCAGCTCGGGGAGTACCAGCCCGAACTTGAAACCCCGTGACACTTGTCACACTACTTTAAAGTGAATTTTGTAACGCTCCACCTACAATGAAAGGTCCCCAAGAAGCACATCTTATGCTCTATTTTCCTAGTAACTCTGACAAACACAGTCCAGTAAGTTTTTGCTTGCTTTCTGAGGCTCAATTATTTTGACTGAAATTGTTAACTTTAGGACCGTTACCCAAGAGCTGAGCCAGTTTTCTCATCTGTATAATGGTGTGACTTCCATCAGCATTACAGTTCTGTGTCAGGGTCCGGTGAGATATTTCTAGAACATGCAGTATAACGTGTGGCACGGTGTATCACTTCACAGTGCTCTGTACATTGGACAGAACACTGTCCGCTTATAAAAAGCTTACAAGTACTAACTAAACATCCGTAGCCCTGCTCTGATTTGTTCGTGACACAGCTCTCTGAGGGTCCCAGCTTGAGATCCCGTCACCAGCCCAAGGCAAGCTTGAAAACAATTTACGAGCCGTTACGATCACCACAGCCTCCCGCACCTGCAGCCATCCCACCTCAACCTTCAAAGACTGCCCTGCTTCACGTTTCACCAGTGATGTGTGTCTCTGAAGGCGGCAGCTGGCTCTGGCACGCAGCCAGCAGGCACTCGTGCTTGTGGAAATGGACTTCCTACGGGGACCTCACAATGGACAACACTCCCCAGGAAAGGATAATTTCAAGGGGTTTCAAGAACAAAAAAATTCAGGGCATTCACCTCCTAACAGGAATGTAAAACTACTAATGCTCAAGAACAAAGGATGGAACCCAGATTATGAACTCCGGAGAGACTCTGCTGTATCTCACCCTCCCTCTCCCAAGGGCTATTCGGAGAAGGGCTGTCAATCATAACATAGGCACGCGATGAAGGTAAGAGACTAGACAGACTTATACTTTACTCCAGCAGTCAAGCTGCAGAGCGCAACAATCAGACAAACATTCCACCAGGTATCCAAGGCCCTCCTAGGCTCGGCAGAATCACAGAATCCAGCCCCACATCACTGTCTGGTTTAGGTTTCTTCCTCTGAAAGATAGAAAAGCCACATCAAACTGGTGAATTGCTTATGATTTTCAACACCTCCACTCAGAAGTGAAACCTTTCAGATGCTCACATTTCCTTCAGTCACCTACTGGTGAAGCAGGTGAGAGAGAGCTTAAAGCCCGTGTAACTCACCTGGAGCATCTTTCCTCCCTCAGACCACTGGCTAACATCAGGGACTTCCGGTGCCTTCCTCTAGATGCTTCTTCCTTGCCCTAGCCTCTAAAAGACCACTCTCCTCCCTGACCCCGTCCTGTGATCTAAAGGCTCTGGAAGCAGCTTCTGGAGCCAGACTGACTGCTACTCCAAGTGACATCTCAGGGAACTCCCAGAGGTTTCCATCGAGGTTAGGACTGTGCGTACAGCTTGGGCCCCAGCCGGCACACGCTCACGCCAGACTTCGGAGGGAGGCTTGCTACAAACCTTCTTCTTCCTCCTCTTCCTCCTCCTCCTCCTCGTCGTCCTCATCCGAGCTGAAGGTGCCGTCGGGCAGGCTGTAGACGCGGATGACCTGCTTGTTGGGGTCCTTGAGGATGAGGTACTTGCCCTCCTCCAGCCTCATGCAGATGTCGACGACACAGCGCAGGATGCCCCAGGCGTTCTCCACGCTCAGGTTGATCTGGCTGGCGAACTCATTGGGCTTGAACTGCTGGGTGCCCAGGATGACGTGGCGTGACGAGTCTTTCACGTGGTACCGGGACACGTAACTATTGAGGGGAAGAGGAGTATTATGGGGGGGGGGGCAGGCGGGCACAGAGACACAGCGACGCCTGGGGTCGAGTATCAGTTAAATGGTGACACCTGGCCTGACGCTTCTCCCAAGAAAAAGGAGAAAAGGCCAGCCCTCGTCTCCCAACCTGCAGACGCCCCCTTCCAAAGATGAGCTCCCGGCCAGGAATCTCACCCAAGCTTGAGGTACTCGGATCCGGCCAGCAAAGCACAGCAGGTCCAGCGGGCCAACTTGTAGCTGTTGTTCTTCAGCTCGGTGGCAATGACGGCCCCTCGCTGAGAATCCAGCTTCTGACGCCAGTCAACGCCATTACAGTGCTGCAGGAGGGGAGCCCCGGTTATAGGGGCCAAGGCGGGCTCCCACTGCCCACGGCCTGCTGCCACTTCTGGCAGAGAAGCAACTCCTTAGTGGGCCTGACTGGGGAGGGGCGAGCCCACAGGTAAAGCAGAGGTCAGGCTTATCTTTTAAGAGGCAGGGCCTTGGTCCCTCCCTTGCGCAGCAGGTGCTCAACAGAGCGCAACTCCTCCCTTCACAAGAGCTCATCCAGACCAGGACACGCACGCACACAAGTTAAAAAAACAAGCGCCACACAAGTGGTGAGGGCATGTGTTTATCACATGCTGGGCGGAGAGGAAGGGTTTTGCGTGGGAGCCTCGCAGCTCCCCCATGGAGGATATTGGCAGAAGCTGGAGGTGGAGTGATCTGAGAGGGACGTGGGGAGAGACGGGCCGGTTTAGCCCCGGTGGGCGTGGAGGCCCACAGAGAGCGAGGTCAGGGTCTGGTGCTGTGCACACACACAGAGACAGACAAAAAGCAGAGAGACCCCGGAGACCACCTTCTCCAACCACCTCTTCTGCAGATGTGGGAACCTGGCCTCAGAGTGAAGTGACGGCTGAAGGGCACACGGCAGAGACTCCTAAACTTTCTTGGTTCCTTGGCAACCCTAGGCCAGAAGAAATACTAAAGAGTTCCTTTTATTAAGTAGTTAGGTCCAAACCACTTAGGGGCAGTATTCTGACAGATGTCTCTGGGCTTTCTTCAAAAATTAAAACTATCCTGCAGCAGCCTTGTGAGTTTGCTGTGGCATTTTAAGGGCCTTTCCTCAAATCTGTGCTTCCTCAAGGAAGCAGTGTTTCGGACCATTAACTGGCAGAGATACTGAAGGGAGGGAGGAGAGAGTTAGGGAGGTCAGCTAACAATAGGCATCACGGAGAGGAGGGCCCTAAACTAGGGGGATGATGTCAGTGAGACCCAGAGCTGAGCAAGAAGACAGACTGCACCTGACAGCAGAATTCAGGAGTGCAAAGGAGGAGATGTTTGAGGCTCTGAGCCGAAGAGAGCAGGAGAGACAAAGCTGACGGACGGCCAAGCCAGAGGGAACGACAAAGAAGGACGTTGGAAGGACAAGGTATTTTAGAAAAAAGAAAAAAACCAACAATGGAATGGGAGTCAGAACAGATTTCGGGAATCATTTTTAGAGTTCAAGGATGAGGCTCGGGGTAGGCAGAATTCTAAGTTGACCCCCGGTGACCCTGCTCTTGCAGAATCTGCTACCATGGAGTCTGGATGGAACGTGTGAGTATGATGAAATACCCACGATCACGCTATCTCATGTCAAAAGGGATTCTGCAGATGGAGTTAAGGTCCCTTAAGACAGGAAGACCATCTGGGTGGGCCTCACCTAACCATGCGAGTCTCTTAAATCTGGGTGTAGAGGTCGGACACAGAGGAAGCCAGAGATTTCAAGCACGAAAAGAATCTTATGTTGCTGGTTTGAAGGTGGAGGGGACCACATGGAAAGAAATGTGGGTGGCCTCTAGGAGCTGAGCGGCCCCAGCTGACATCTGGTAAGAGAACGGGGGACCTCAATCTGACAACTGCAAGGAACTGAATTCTACCAAAATGAGCTTGGAAGTGGATTTTCTTCCAGAAACTCTAGCTGAGAACTCAGTTCTGCTGAAACCTTAACTTTAGTTCTTGGATATTCTGAGCAGAGAACCAAGCCACACGATGCCAGACTTCTGACCTACCAAACTATGAGCTAATGGATGTCATTTTAAGCCTCCAAGTTTCCGTTACTTTGTTACGGAGCCAAAGAAGATGAATACATGCTATATAAAGACGTGATTATGGCAAAATGACTTGCAAAGGGGACTGACCCTAAGAGAAGGCTCCACTGGGGGTCAAAAAGGAGGGGAACCAGCAAAGGAAACACGTGAAAGAAGTTGAGAAACGTGTAAGACTAGATTAAGGTACTAACACAGAGGGAACAGCCATACAAATACAACGACACCATATGCTACAGGGAGGGCATGGTGGAAAGTCTAAGAAAAGGCCACTGGCCCAGAGCTAAGTTCGCAGCAAACCTTCCGGTGTGCTCTCAGCAGGTGATGGAGGCTGAGGAGCATCTGGGGGTGAGACTCAGCAGCCTGGAATGCTAATCCCTTGGCTCTAACGAAAGCAGAGCACAACGGCCCCCAAACTCCATCTCACTGGACCCTCGTTCAACACAGGCCCGGCCTTCCTGTCCTTGCACCAAGAATCCTTTATTCTACAAAGCAGCACCGAGGAGCTCTGCCACCCATTTCAAATTCAGGCACGTAGCCCAGGTACTTTCAGAAAGGATGACAACCCACTAATCATGGCGAACCAGCCTGAGAGAGAACAGAAAGAGGAGGAAAAGCGAAGGACAAGTGATTCTTTCTAGATGCCCCCTGAAGAGCGAAATCTGGGCTTATCTGAGAATCTCTGACTTCAGGAAGTGAAGGAGTTGGAAAAAGGGCGTCCGAAGGTTGAAGACCAGGTAGGGGCTGCAGTAAGCGAAAGAACAGGTCAAAAAGAAGAGCTGCGCGGCGTACAGGAAACCTGCCAGCCCGGCTCATAAGGAAAGATCAAAATCACGCTTGCAAAGAGCAGAAATCAACAGGAAGTGGGAATGGAACAGAGGGACAGAAAGCACTGGAAGAAGGTAATTACCTCAAACACATGATCTCTTTCTCAGTAAGTAGGGGAAAAACTCAGAAGACAAAAAAAATCTCGGTAGCTCTCTAAGTGAGGTGAGGGGCAGACAGACATAGGATGGTACTCACCCTGGAGTCCCACTCGTTGAGGGTCTTGATGTTGATGAACGACACCTCCCCGTTGGCGCCAGTCATGACGCCGTCGTGCTCACAGCGGACGATGAGGTCAATGTCGTCTCCGAGCTTCCACCTGCGGTAACTGCAAGGAAGGAGGAGCTCCTTCGGTCAGCTGAGACCCTGGATTTCAGACGCACCACCCACACAGGACACGGGCACCAGGGAGGTGACATACCGGTAGGCCACAGAGGCAATCTCATTCTTATCCATGTCATCCTCCACAAACGGGTTTGGGTTGGGGAAGTTGTATCTTTCCTTCCCCTGCAAGGATGACAGAGGTGTCACGAGACGGCAGCAACTTGTCACCAAGGCAATCTGCCAGACCCTGCACCTCTGCTTTGTCACAGCCCTGACTAGGTCCCTAGCTCCTGAGGGGGCTCTGGGATCACTACGTGCTGTGCATCCCTTTACCCAAGCAAGCAGCCCGCGGACCACGACAGATGTAACAGCTCGCGTTCACCCCGTGCTTATGTTTGTCGCCCACGTGCTTTAGGTGTCTCATTTAAATAGCAATCTCGTCCCTCCTGTTTTGTTTTTCTCCATGGCACACACAGCCACTTGTCACAACATACGTGTGCTCAGGGTTTGCTGTCTTTCCTCCTCCGTTGTAACAAAGCTTCTGAAGGGTTGCAACTTTGGCTGGTTGCTGTATCCCCAGCTGGGAAACAGTGAGTGCACTTGTACACAGATATTTGAAGAAAAGGTCACAATGTATCTAAGTGCAACAAGTATTATTGGCATTCTAATTTTACAGAGAAGAAACATGCCCAACACCACAAAGCTAAAAACTGGTGGATCTAGGGTTCAAAGTCAGGCTGTCTGATCTTAAAGCCCAAGCTCGGATCTCCTCTGTGACAGGCAGGGACCCCGTCTATCCTCACCAATCCCACAACCCCGGGGCTGACGACACGGCAGGTGCTCAATCGACAGCAGCTGGAGTCGACAAGCTAAAAATGGACGCCCAGATGTTCCCAGGGCCTCACCATCCTCAAGCACTGCTGGGAGAAGTTGTGGTTGATGTAGGTTGCTTCCATGGCCAGGTTGCGGGGTGAGTTGAAGGAGTTGCCTTCATCTTGCGGGGGCTCGTTGGCTGTCTCACTCACCGTCAGGAGGTCTGCAAGAGCGTGACACAGCCAACCACTCACGAAACAGAGTCACCGAAGAGGTGCATGGCCCTTTGGGGAGCAGTGGCGATCCAGACACACACCCTTCCTCCAAAGAACCGCCATCTGCTAACGTGGGTCCCCTGAGTGTGGGACACACTGGGGAGGAGCAGGGTGCGCTTCTGGATAACTTGAGACACTAACGTTAAATTCAGTCACGATCACGTGGAAGAAAGCCATACCTTTTCCTTCTTTTTGGATTCCTCAAGAGAATGTTTGATTTTATTAGTTTTTCAACAAAGAGAAGCAACATAATCACGTTTGGCTTCACTCTGCTATTTCTGAGTGGTTTTCGTTCATTGTGTGTGTGCACATACACACACGTATGGTGTAAGATATACGCGTACGTATTTTTTCCTGCGTAAATATGCTGAAGTAAAAAAGGCATCAATCTAAAGGAAAACATTAAGCATGTACTAAAGGTGGTATAGAGAGATGACAGAAGTCAGGAAAGTGCTATTCAAATGAGTAAAAACTAGAAGCACGGTATTTGGGCACCATGAGGCCTCCGAAGGCTGACGCCCCCAGAGGGACTGCAGTGACAGTCCCTTCCCCTGTCGCTGAGGAGGCTGAGTGGGATTCTGACATGGCTGTTGACGCCTGTGAGGAGCCAGACCCTCTTCTACCCATTCTCTAGACCAGGGAATGGCTCTGAACCAACAAGCACACTCAGCACCTCTGTGTTGTTCCCGAACAGGCTTCTTACCAAAGTCAGAGTTGTCCCTCTTGTCAAAGAAGAGCTTGGACCCGACTCTCTGGACGACGATGTCCCAGGAATACACGGAGCGGGTGCAGCTCATCAGCGTGGCCAGAATGGCATCGGTGGCAAACACGTTCCCCTGAGTTTTTGCCAGCTGCAGAGGACAGAAGAGAGATGAGGCTACTTCAGGGTTGAACTGAACATTCACAGCAGGGGAAGGACTCCTCTGTAAGGCGCGTTCACACCCACACCCTTGTCTGAGCAAGGCCGCAGCAAGCCAGCCAGCAAACTTGTGTCCTGGGGTCCAAGGAACTGCAGCTCCCTGAGCACCTGCTGTATCCCAGGAGAGCACTGCCCGATGCTGCCATCCTCACCCCAGCGGCACGTGGTAAGTACATTTACCCCGATTTACAGGTAAGAAAGCTAAGGCCTCAGACAGGTGAAGCCAGGAAGCGCGGCAGAGCTGGGACCCGGGCCCAGCTTCACCTAACTGGCCAGCAAAGTGCTCTTATTTTCATCTAATCCTAAGTCGATATCTACAGGGGCTTCCGAGGCCCGACCGATTCACACGCATCCCCGCATCTCTGTCCTGAGGCCTCAACACTCCCCGTGGGCGGGCAGGTGCGGGGCAGGGGGCGCCCACCTTCCGGATGACAGGGTCGTCCGTGGTGGTGACAGTGTGGAAGATGCGCTTGATGCTCCGCAGCGGCTTCTCGCTCCTTGTGGTGATGCGGTCGAAGGCTTTGTCGTAGTATTCCAGGGCCCCGCAGCACTCGCTGAGGGGAGAGCAGGCAACACGCGCTAAGTGAAGGGGAAGAAGACCACCTACTTCTTTTCTGTTAAGCCACGGATCCAAAGTCTAGAGTGTGAGAGATGAAAACATTCTCTGACTCGACTCTCAGTGCCTGCTCCGGGCCCTGCCCCCTCAGCTCCTGATGTGGCTCCACAGAACAGTGAGGACACAACTGATTCTGCTCTGCCTCCCCATTTTAAAGACAGGGAGGCTGAGGCCAAGACAGGGAGAGCGGCAGTTACAGAGCCCGCAGCAGGCACGCTGACTCGGTCTGGTGCCCCAGCTCCCCGCTAAGTTATTTCCATCTACTGGCCCTTTGAGGTAAGGAGCTCTTTGAAATGTAAGCAAAAGCTTCATGACTCTTGAAGAACTGCTATCTTTCTCTTTCTGCCCTCAGAGCTATAGAACTTAATTTTTCCTTTTGCTCAGGATTTCAGGAAGTGGAAAGAAATCTGGAGTTTAACAGCAAATTTCTTTCTGCCAACAAGAGTTCTATAACTTAATTCTTCTTTTTATAAATTTATTTATTTTTGGCTGTGTTGGGTCTTCGTTTCTGTGCAAAGGCTTTCTCTAGTAGTGGTGCGCGGGCCTCTCACTATGGCGGCCTCTCCCGTTGCGGAGCACAGGCTCCAGACGCGCAGGCTCAGTAGTTGTGGCTCACGGGCCCAGCTGCTCTGCGGCACGTGGGACCTTTCCAGACCAGGGTTCGAACCCGTGCCCCCTGCATTGGCAGGCAGATTCTCAACCACTGCGCCACCAGGGAAGCCCACTTAATTCTTCTTTTGCTCACAATGCCAGGAAGTTCAAAAAGAGCTGAAGTTTTTTTTTCTTTTTGGCCGTGCCGTACAGCCTGTGGGATTCTAGTCCCCCGACTAGGGATTGAACCCATGCCCTTGGCACTGAAAGTGTGGAGTCCTAACCACTGGACCGCCAGGGAATTCCCGAGGAGATGAAGTTTTAATATCAGTAAACTTCTTTCTGCTTTCCCCCTCTTGGCATTGCTTTTTAAAACCTGTTTGTCAATCTTATGCACCTTTGGAAATACTAGGGCTTAGGCCAACAGTCATCACCAGCTGGTGCACACACACACGAGTGTGGTGGACAGTAGTAAAAGACGTCACCTACATGTCCTGGGGCTCTGACACTTCCAAGTAGCGCATCTTCATTAACTGAGGAAAGTCCATCTCCTCCTTCACCTCCCAGTCACTGCGGACTTCCACCGAGGAGTCTCGGGGCTTCTGTTGGGGGAAACCATTGGAGGGGAAAAATGACAGCCAGTGCAAAATGTAAGCAAAAGGCAGGTTAACAGTACGAAGGCTTTTATTCAATAAATATATCCAGAACATTTACTACGTGCTGGCTGTTTTCCAGCAGCGTCCCTGACTCCTAGGAGCTTACAATCTAGAAGAGGACCGAAGGGACGAGAGCTCAGAAACAAATGGGAATTCTACTCCTCAGTAACGATGCCACCCTGGGAACATCAGCTCTTCTATATTCCTACATTTTATACAGGAGCTGTAACAGCTCCTTTATATTTCTCTCAGGGTATCAGCTGTTTATTCTTGCTGCTACAGCAAGCATCATGTCCAGCAAAATGTAACTTCCACAGTTGTACCTTCACGCTTGCTTACATGTCTTCTACTCTCACCACGCCCACACAAACACTTGTACAGGAATGCCCATGGGGGCATCATTCCTAATATGCCCCAGAGTAAAACCGCCCCAGTGCCCATCAGTGGTGAACGGATAAACAAAATGTGGTCTATCCATCTAACGGAATGTGGCGATAAAAAGGAATGAAGCGCTGACATGTGCTACATCATGGATTAGCCTTGAAAACATGATGCTTGGTGAAAGGAGCCAGTCACAAAAGATCATTCCGCTAAGATTCATTTATATGAAATGTCTGGGGCAGGCAAATCTGGAGACAGAAAATAGATAAGGGGCAGCCGAGGGCTGGGGAGGAGAGGGGCTGACTGGCACAGGGTACCGGGCTTCTTTTTAGAGTGCTGAAAACCTTCTGACACGGACTGTAATGGCGGCTGTAGCACTCTGTCAATGCACTACAAATCGCCGAAATGTACACTGTAAATGGGTGACTTGTATAGTGTGTGCACTATACCAATAAAGCTGTTATAAAACCAAACAAACAAATAAACAAAATCAAATTCCTGGACAGAATTCTGATATGGATATACTACCTGTGATTTTTGGTCCCATTTCTGCCTCACTCCAAATTGTTTCTGGAATTTTTTCTGCAGTCGTATGCGTTCTCTGGAAAGACAGGAAAACTGTGCTTTCGGTGCAGATTTTTAAGGAAAACGGGGGCTTAAAAAAAAGAACAGACCAACAGGGCGCACACTAGACATGCTAGAGAGGCATACTGCCCCCACTACTGACCAGTATTACGCATATATTTTACTCCATCTATCCAGCTGTCCACTGGCAGCCCCAGCTTGGGCAGGGCTACTATCCTACCCAGCTCCAGGGACTCACAGGCCCCAGCGTGAATGGGGCTCCCCGGAGTTGTGCCACAGCAGACCCAAGCCTAGGTAAGCTCCAAAGTTGCCGCCTATCTGCCTCTGCTTCCCTTCAGTAGTCATATCCTCTGCAGGTTTCCTGCCCATGCTCTCTGCCGTTAACAGCTCTTCGAGAGTGACCCCAGGGCTGAGACAGTGGCTTAACTGGCCCTGGGAAGACTTTCTGGTTTTCCTGCAATGGTGGGGAAGACGACTATTCTGCTCTGGCCTCCTGCCATCAGAGTGCAGTCGGTCCTGGAAGGATATCTTGTTCTGCCAGGATGGGCACCTCACCTCTCCTTCTGCTTGGCGCTCTTAGGCAGGGTCTGCAGGTTGAACTGCAACATGTTCCGTCGATCCTTGTCTCTGCGGAGGTTCCGCTGGGAAGCAGGAAAAAACATCCATGTTAAAATCTTGGAGATCTGGCTTACAACTGGCAGTGCCTAATGGGAGGCCATTAGAGTTAGTTTAGGATGCAAACCCAAATCGCACATTTTACTCTGCTTTTATAGAATCAACATCCGGGGGGTTACAAGTATGCACAGGCATACCTCAGAGATATTCTGGGTTTGGTTCCAGACCTCCACAATAAAGTATCACAATAAAGCGGGTCACACAACTCTTTTGCTTTACCAGCGCATATAAAAGTTATGCTATACGTATGGTTTACACTACACTGCAGACTATTAGTGTGCGATACCACTATTTCTAAAAAAACCAATGTATACACCTTAATTAAAAAAACACTTTATTGCTAACAAACGTTAACCACCATCTGAGCCTTCAGTGAGCAGTAACATTAGCCATCACAGATCATAGATCACCATAACAAATGTAATAATAATGAAAAAGTTTGAAATATTGTGAGAATTACTTAAATGTGACATAGAGACATGAAGTGAGCCAAATGCTGTTGGAAAAAAAGGCGCCAAAAGACTTGCTCGATTCAGGGTTGCCACAAACCTTCCATTTGTAAAAAAAAAAAAAAAAAAAAAAAAAATCTGCGAAGCACAACAAAATGACGTACGTTTGTACTTGGAATTAGATTTATATCCACACGCAGTTTTTACTGAAGTAGGTTTACTGGCTCTTATTAGAGTTGTTGAGTTTGCCTCTTTACGTAAGAAGATGCAGCCCAGCTGGACGATCTACTTAATAAATCCTGGACATAGCAATTAAGTGAGGCAACAGACACAGATCACCTTGTTAATCCAGCGCTAACATCCACCCTTAGCACAGATGTCCTTGCTACTGGTCAACAGAAAGCTAAACTATTTAAATGCATCCCTGGACTTAGTACCCATTTATTTTAGCACAACTGTCACTGAATAGCTACTTGGAATTCACTAGAAGACCCACAATAACATGCTCTCCTCTCAGCAGTACTACACGGTAGCATTTTTAGCAGCAGGTGACAGCCCCAAGACGGTCAGATTGCTGGCTCTTGGCCTACCTGTGCAAATCGCATCCGATTCCGCTGGTAGGCAGTCTTCTGTGTGCGTGCGGTATCCACCAGCTGGAAACTAGTTTCATCCTCCTCATGGAAGTAAGCATACTGACTCCCACCTCCAAACTGAGAGGAGTACTTATCTGGAGGCAAAGGTGACAGCGTGTAACAACACTGCCTACAGATTTTACAAATACATGGTGGTCTAAAGGCCTGCTATTTAAAGTGTGGTCTCAGGACCTGACCCATCGGCTGGGATCATCTTAGATGTACAGACTCACAGCCTCACCCCAGACCCACGAATCAGAATCAGCATTTTAATAAGATCCCCAGCTGATTCATACGCACATTCAAGTTTGAAAAGCTCTGGTCCAAAGAACTTTCTAAGTCAAGGCAGAGTCTGAGGAACTTAAGCCAAGCCCATTTGACTCTCTGCCTTAGTCTGTAAGAATATGAGTTAAAATCTGCTCTCAGGAGAGGCAAGGATGCGGTCTAGGTATCGTCACTGTCATCAGGTACCCAGGCAGACGTGGCTAATGGGCTACGACTGACTTTCCTGCTGCCCTCAGACCCAGATAATCTTAACTCAGTATCCCCGGGAGCCACTTCCAGCTCTCTCAACTGGCACAGAGGGAAGAAACCAATTTACTGTACCAGGATCTTAAAACCCAGAGTTTTAAAACTGGGATCCACTGACTGGCCTCGTAGGTTCAATAAATTGCAATGAAGTGAAAAATGGGAACATGTTCACCAGATTTGTAAAAGGGGCCGTGGCTCCCCAAAAGTGGGGGGGGGGGAACCCACTATAATAGGCCTAACCTCTTTAATGAACAGTCTAAGTTGAGGCTATTTCGAAAAAGAATGTGGATTGTTTCCACAGTCCAGAATATGCCCTGAAATACTATGAATTATTATCAGCCTTTTGTTCCCATCCTAGAATGCTTTCAGGTGGAGGTTACTAGAAAAACTAACAATCCCCCAAGGCCCTGATCCGGGCAGTCAGGCGGGGAGCACTTACTTGTGTACCTCTTATCTTGGTACGTGGCCCCCGTCCAGTCTGCAACCTAGTAAGAGCAACAAGGGAAGAAGACATGGAGCATGGGTCAGCCAGGTGGGTTTCTGTTCACTCAGAAACCCCCCAAAGTGAGGACACAGTGTGCGGAAGTGTCAGGACTGGCTCAGGATGGCTTTTTAAGAGCCCAGCTCTCCTATGACCACTGCAAGTATCCAGATGGATACTATATAATGGATACTATATATACTATATAATGGATACTTATAACCCTGATGCTTTTCAGAGAATAAAATTGAAACGAACTTGGAGGAGCAGCCACAGGTTAAGAGATTCAGACCCCCGCTGACAGGCAAGTACCTTTCCTAGCCGATCTCCTTTGCTGAATGGCTGGTAGGGCATATCCCGAAACTGCTCGGGAACCGCACAGGGACCCCAGCCTGAGGGGTTGTCCTGGATCACGGGTGTCATGAACTTTGCCATCTTCTAAAACCTTAAAAATACAAACAATATAAGCAGCCCCATGAAGAAAAGCCTCAAACTAAAAAAAAAGCCTTCCATTTGAGGTAAGCTAAGACATGAATGACAAAATTAAAAATGCAAAACAGAATCCTCAACTGTTGAGCTACTCCCCATTCAATGTCTTCTTGTAAATAATGTTGTGAATACTTAAAACTCAGAAGACTGCTAACAAAATTGATGTATCATATTTCATTGATTTTTTCTTCACTGTACCACCTCTGAAATGAGTCTGCACCTTCTGCTTGATGGGGTGTCATATCGTAATTGGCAGTGTTTCTTTCTTGGTGTTACATGAAATAATTGTGCTTCTTAAAATGAGTGGTACCTCACATATTTGATGAAACGTAGTGCCTTTTTTTCAGGTGCAATAAGTGTGTTGCAGTTCTTACTCTCACCTTCACCAGGCATACAATATTTAATCCCTAAGCCTCAGTCTCTTCATCTGTCAAATACATAAGATCCTTGTTTTATTTCTATCAGAGAATCATTGTGAAAGCCGTATGAATTAATCAACGTATTTGGAAATGATTCCATTGTAAAACGCTGCACGATTACTCCTGAGTCTTGCAAAAATACATTTACACACAGTGCTGAGAGGAAAACAAGGGTCCGTGAATATATCCTGAAATGTAACTTCCCTTTGTTGTTCTTCTGATTTTCTGTCAATGAAAAATCCTTACGCAGAGCAAGCAGACACAGGGTCAGGCAAAAGGCCCGCCAGAAGGTTGAGGAGGCCACCAGAAACCTTAGTTCATAAAAGTGGCCATACAGCCAATGTTCATAAACATTATGAGTACCAGGCATGTTCTTAGTGCTTACCACACATAAATTCATTAACTCCTCCCAACAATCCCAAGGTAGGGCCAGTATTAGCCCCACTTTCCAGATAAAAAAACTGAAGCACAGAGAAATCAAGAAATTGCCTGAAGTCACAACACTAATGGACGAAAAATTTGAACCCAGGCAAACTGGCTCCAGGGTCCACACTCTGCGTAAAAACCAGGGGCTCCAGACAGATGTTCGCCTGACAGGTCCTATCAAAAACTTACGCATTTATCATCCACTGCAATCCCCTGAAAATGCTCAGAAGCTGAGTTCCCAGGGGAAAATTCATTACACAAACATTTCTGGAGTCTGGACAGCAATCAAAGAGTGCAGGGTACTAAATTTAGGAAACTCTCTTAATTGTTCAACGATAGGGAGATTAAGGCTTCCTACAGAGGGGACACTTGGGTGACAGCAACAGGGAATGACCTGGGAGCTCCATCCTGCAGCTTGAACTTAAGTTACACTACAGGAAGCGGACTGAGGGAAGCAGTGGTGGTCTCAAAACAATTCACATTAAATATTTATCAGGCTCCTACACGTGTCAGACGCAACACCACTAACCCTCCCACCTCGCCCCCATTTTAGAGATAAAAATGTGCAGTTCAGCCAGATCAAGCAGTTGACTTGCCCATCGTTTCAAAAAAGATTTGGTTTCCAGGGTCGTCTGCCCTAAGTCCAACACTCTTCCTATTATTTTATAAGCTGGGCAGCGGCCTGAAAAGATCTGGGGTTTCAGCCCCTACTGACAACACAGTAAGATATCTCCAAACACACTTAAAAAAATCGACTTGTTTTATCAGAGCTGGAGACAAACGGGCTCAAGGCTTGACATGCATTTCTCTGGGGGGGGGGGCGGGAGGAAGTCACCTGGTTTCAACGCACGTAAAATAAGAGTGAGCACAATGGAACCAACAGGAGAAACTAAATCTTTCAGTTAAAACGGAGTGACAGCTGTACTGGCTACAGGGGCAGTATGAGGAGGCACCAACAGGGCAGTCAGAAGGGGCCTTCCGGCTGGCAGGCCACGGTACTGGGTATGTTACGGCAACCACTGCAGGTCGTTCCCCATCAATTCCTGGGGGGTAGAGTTTCAGATCAGAGATCAATCAACTCCATCCTGGCCTCCCATTTCACAGAAAAGGGAAGGAAACATTTGGACCGTGAACTCCTCAGGGAGGGCCGAACACCGCTCGGCTTGGAACCCCCAATACCTCTCTCAAAGCAGCTCAGGGAGCCGTGGGCCGCTTTAAAAAGACCCTGAGACCCAGCTGGGTTAAATGATATGATCACATTCGCCCAGCCCGTGGCCGCTAAACGGAGTCTAGGGCCAGAGACCTCAGGCACAAGGCTCTGCCCCGCACTGGGTCGGACCTGGGACCCCGAAGGCAGAGTCCTGCCCCGCCCAGCGGAGGAACAGCGACGGCAGGTGGGGGTGTACGGGGGTTTCTTCCGGTAGGCCCCCAAAGGCCAGGAGCCGCCCAACTCGGCTCCGGAGGTCCGCGAAACGCTACGAAACACACTGCTCACCTGCAACGGCCTGAACCGGGCCGGATGGCGAGAGATTGTCCAAGCCGGAGACCGCACCACCGCCTGTGGACCGATGACGTGGGAAAACAGGAAAAACGCGCGCGCAGCGGCCGGCGCCGTAAACACAACCGGCGCTGTCGTAAACTGCTCCCCAGCTTCCTTCCGGTTCGGCGGCAGAACGCACGAGTCGTAAAGCAAAGGCAACCCGGAAGTTCGTCACTGTTCTTTTCGAGCTGTTCCGATTAGCCTGCAAGACACCGGAGGATGTTTACAGTTACGTCATGGGACACCCGACGACGCTCCGAGAGGGTTTTCAAGTTTCTTGAAACGAGGCGGCCCTGCAGTCGAAGCTGGAGGCCGAGAGTGGCTAACAGCCCCCCCGGTGTCCCACAATGCCTTGCGGGCCGCTTCGGCACCTCTGTATCCCACAGTGCCCCGCGGCTCCTGCCTTCTTTAAGCGATCGTGTTGTTCGATTCTCACTGCTAGGGGAAGGTCGAGTCTTTTAGGCGTATATCGTCGCGACGCGCTGTTCTTCGGAAAGTGAGGCCAGGAGGTGCAAAGTGACCTGCGTAGATCAGACTACTAGTGTAGTGGGTGGTTGCCAGGGTTCAAACCATACCTCCACAGTTCTAAAACTTTATTATTTAACAGATTTCTGGAGCGCTAATTTGAAAAATGCAGATTCCGGGTCTCCTTTCCATAGATTGTTATACCAGCATGTCTTAGCTGGAGCCCAGAATCTGCATTTTAATGAGCAGCTGTGATTCTGAAGTGGCGACCAGGAAGCACTTTCCTACGATGGCAACTGTGCTGTCCTTTTCGAAACCCAGCCTACGGAGTTTGTCCTGGAGTCTTACTGGGGAATTTCAAAACATCGAAAGAGAATCTGAGCGCGCGATTTTTGTTCAAACCTCAGATTCTTTTCTACCTGGCTTCTTAGGTTTCCTTATCAGTCTCCCAGCGCCTCTCCTTTATTGGGAAATATGTTTGCTGTTAGATCAGATATCTATTCTTGGCTCTGCCACTTTCTAGCTGTGTAGCCTTCACCTCCCTGGACCTCAGTTTCCTTATCTGTAAATTGGAGAAGATAAAAAGGGGGTGCCGTGAGGGTAAAGATAAATGTATGTGAAAATACTCAGGAATCCCACTTACCAGTTGGGCAAACTTAGGTTATTCGATCTCTCTGAAACCTTATTCATTTGTAAAATGAAAATGTTAACAGCAGCATCTGTTTTCATAAGTTCTCTCCTAATCCGCTCATCTTCCAGTTTTCCTACTTTTTGTTCATGCTATCCAGTGAATGGTGCTCATTGCAAAACCCTGTAGTCATTATTGGTAGCTCCTTTTCCCTTTTCCACCACATTCAATCCTTCAGTAACTCCTCTTTATTCTTCTTTCAAAAGATGTCTTGAGGGCTTCCCTGGTGGTGCAGTGGTTGAGAGTCCGCCTGCTGATGCAGGGGACGCGGGTTCGTGCCCCGGTCTGGGAAGATCCCACATGCCGCGGAGCGGCTGGGCCCGTGAGCCATGGCCGCTGAGCCTGCGCGTCCGGACCCTGTGCTCCGCAACGGGAGAGGCCACAACAGGGAGAGGCCCGCGTACCGCAAATAAAAAAAAAAGAAAAACGTCTTGAGGAAATTCCCTGGTGGTCTAGTGGTTAGGACTCTGTGCTTTCACTACAGGGGGCACGGGTTTGATCCCTGGTCGGGGAACTAAGATCCCGCAAGCCTCAAGGCGTGGCCCGCCCCCCCCAAAAAAAAAACCATCGTGAATGCCACCACTTTTCCCCCACCATCTCCAGCCTCATGCTTGGACTCCCAGTGTCCACTCTTGTCCTTCTAGGGTTCCTTCTCTGCATGATGATCAAAATAATCTATTCACAACCTTCTAGCAGCTTCCCATTACGTACTTGGAGTAAAATACAAATGTCTTCCTGTGGACTGTCTGGTCCTGGCTACCTATCATCTTTATATCCTGCCATTTTATACTCTCCGCTAGCTATCATGCTTTTTTTTTGGCCGCACTGCATGGCTTGCAGGATAGTTCTCCAAACAGGGATCAAGTTTGGGCCCCGGCAGTGAAAGTGCCGTGTCCTAACCGCTGGACCACCAGGGAGTTCCCAATCATGCTTTTCTTTTTATGCCACAGGGCTGTGGTGAGAATTGAATGAGTTAATGTAAGTTCTTGGAATGGTACCAGGAACATGGCGGGCGAGAATGAATGAGGACAGGGCAAGGCTACTCAGAGGGGTGGTTGGTTGAGGACACAGGCTAGTGAAGATCTAGGGAAGATGTATTCCCGGCACCAGAAAACAGCAGGTGACAAGGTCTCAAGGCAGGAAGGAACCTGGGTATGACCCAGAAAGAGGAAGTGGCCACGTAGAAATGTGCAGGCCATGGAACAGAGTATGGGATTTTATCCTCAGTATAAAGGTAAGCTACTGAAGGATTTTGAAGTGGGGAGGGAGGGAGGTCATGCCCTGATTTAATGTAAAGGAGGGTCATCCTGTGGAGACTGGATAGGCAGAAAGAGGCAGCAGAGGCCTCCATTGAGAAAGGAATGGAGGAAGGATCTTCCACCCAAGCCCAGGGACCCATAATTGAGAATGAGACAGACACTCCAAATCCTTCTCCATCTGGGGTGGGCAGAGACGTCACAGCCAAAATGGAAAAGACGATGAAACTTTGACACAAGAGAGAGACTGCAGCAGATGGCCTGTGGGCCCACGGCAAAAAAAAAACACACCAAAAAACACCAAAAAACAAAAGACATGATCCGAGCAATTCAGCAAAAGTACATCTCCCCCTATATTTTAGCACATATTACAACTTACTATTGATATTGAGTACATTATCATTAATTGAGTCCCTATTTATGTGCCCAGGGTAATGTGCTAAATTCATTTTCTCATTTAATTCTCACAAAACCCCATCCATTCATTCATCAATTCCCCAAATATGTCTCACCAGGCACTGTTCTAGGTGAGACAGCAAAGCCTCTACCTCACAGAGCTGACACTCTAGAAGCAGAGATGGAGCCTAAACAAGGAAACAAAAATATTTCAGAGCACGAGGAGAACTATGAAGAAAAGCAGAGTCGGAGGGCGAGGAGGGATGGAGAGAGAAGCAGCTGTTTTAGGAGTGGTGGTCGAAGATCTCATTGAGGAGATAACCCTTGAGCAGACACAGGGATGATGGGACCAGGCCAGCCGTGAGTAAATCTGGGTTCTTGTATGTTTCTTCTATCACATGGAGCACCCCGAGGGGGTGGGGGTAGGGCCTGTGTTCTCAGTTGCTAGAACAGTGTCTGACATAGAGCAGGTGACCAGTAAGCATTTGTTGACTAAATCAATGAATAAAGGGATCAAAATTGGTGTGAGATCATTTATTCAGCTTGCATTAGGACCCTGTGTATATAATGATCAATAGTGAGAGTCTTGCCTTCAAAGAGCTTCTGTTCTAGCCAAGGGAGTGACTGCAAAAGCATTTTCTAAACTAAAAAGGGGAGACCCATAGGTGCCTGCCAGGCCCTCCATATTCATACCCTTATGTTGTGTCTAGAAGCAAGAGGCACCATTATTACTGTTTTCTGATCAGCCCTTTGTGCTGTTCTGTTCTGCCCTGTCCCTTCCAGATAAAACAAATGCATTTTCTAATAGGAGCCTCCAATGTTTTGAAAAGGGAACTAGCGTTTATTGAGTGCGTACTATATGCCAGGTGCTGTGCTAGTGCTTTACATAAATCGTCATCTCTTCAATTCTTTCTAAGAGTTCTCTGAGACATTCATGCAGGAGGGAGAAACAGGCTCAGCATGGTTGGGTACTTGGCCCAGTGAGTAAGTGGTTGCACTACGATATGAGAGCAGTTTTGTGCCCTTAAAAGCTCCCATCCCGGACTTCCCTGGTGGCGCAGTGGTTGAGGGTCCGCCTGCCGATGCAGGGGACACGGGTTCGTGCCCCAATCCGGGAAGATCCCACGTGCCGCGGAGCGGCTGGGCCCGTGAGCCATGGCCGCTGAGCCTGCACGTCCAGAGCCTGTGCTCCGCAACGGGAGAGGCCACAACGGTGAGAGGCCCGTGTACAAACCTCCTAAGCCCCTCCCACCCCAGCCCCCGAAGACCCATTGTTTGGCCCAGCAAAAAAAAAAAAAAAAAGCTCCCATTCCTTCCAGGGTGGTGGAGAAGGGCTTTCCTGAAGTTTGGGTTTTCTTTTTCTCGCCACTCTTCTGTCTCTTGCCTCTGCTCTCTGATTTACTCAAACCCTTCTTATCCTGGATATCAGTGGCAGCTCCAGAATTTCCCCATGGGAAGGGCATAGTGAGAGCAATCTGGTGGAAAGGGGGAGCCCCGGGCTTGTCTTGAAGCTGTGTTTGCATAGCAGATATCCTGCGTTCACTGGGGTTGTATGTTTATTTGGGGAAGGCGCTCTGGAGATTGTGAGGGAGCTGAGCCTGCTCCTTAAGCCATCTCCTGTCAGAACTGCTGAGCATGCAGACAGGACAGAACTGGGAGAAGGGGAAGGGATGAGAGAACAGCACCGATTTCTCGAAGGCTTTCTATGTGTGTGGCATCTCATGTATTTTGATATTCTAGACTGTGAGGTGGAAGGTTGTTGCCAGCATCTGTAGTATGCTCTGAGAACTTGGCCAAATTCAGGGTTACCATATAATTTACCATCCAAATTGGGGCACTTTTTGGGAGAGAAGGGGTCACTATCAATAATTATGCCAGACAAAAGGTGTAAACAGGGACTGTTCCTCGCAAATTGGGAGGTATTGTCACCCTAGGCAGAAAGGAAATAAAATTGGCCTCTGTTCTGGTCATCTGTTGCTGTGTAACATCTCTCCAGAACTTGGTGGTTTACAACAATCTGTTTATTCTCTCTCTTGGTTTCTGTGGGTCAGGAATTTGGGAAGGGCTTGGCTGGGTGGTTCTGGCCTGGGGTCTCTCAGCCAATGGTAGGTAGATGTGGGGGGAGCTGGAGTAGCTGGGGGCTGGCCAGACCATTCTCTTTTTCTCTCTCTCCATTTCGTCTCAGGGTCTCTCTATGTGGTGAGTCCACATGGAGAGTTTGGGCTTCCTCACCACATGGTGGTCTCAGGACAGTCAGACTACTTATATGGGGGCTGAAGACTTCCAGAGGAAGTGTTCTGACTAGTAATCTGGGAGCTACATGGCCTTCTACGACCTGGCCTCAGAGGTAACACAACATCAATTCCACCCCTTCCCTGGGTTACCAGCGAGTCACAAGCCTGCCCATAGTCAAGGCACAAGGTTCTAGAAGAGAATGTGGAGTGGGAGATGCTATCGCATCTTGGTAGGAGCAGAAAATCTGCCGCAGATGTAAACTGGCCTTTTGTAAGAGTCACCAGTTGGTTGTCTGCAAACGTGTGGCTGCAGAGTTGGGGACACATCGAATGCCAGAGTTTCTGAGTGAGTCTGGCTGGAAGGAGTCCTGGAATGGTTTATCAAGGGAACCTGATCACAGGGATGGAGGAGGGACTGGAGATGCAGAAGGGGGAGGGTCCTGGAGCCAGAGCTGGCCCTGTCGAGGGGGCTGGAGTGTCACCCCCATTTCCTGGGCAAGAAGGTCCCCTCAAGCTCCCTCTGCTGATGAATGCTTCTTCAGAATAACACTGCCGCTTGTTCTGAGTCCCTCCTATCACGACCGTGAATCCTCACAGAGCTTTTACTGAAGCGGGGTATGTGCTGGGCAGGCCAACAAAAGCGCGGGGTCCTGCTGGTGGCTGTATTTCTTGTGCTCTCTATTAACAGATGGATCATCTGTTTATGCGTCAGCCTTGCAAGCCCCTGCCTTGTGTGCAGACTTACCCCAAACTGCAATGGACTCACCAAGGCCTCCTCTGGGGACCTGTCAGTGTGGCCACCCCCTTCCAGTGCAGCAACCTTGTGTGCCTTCTAGGAACCAACACAGGGATTATCACCCCATTTTATAGATTTGAAAACAGAGGTGCAGTCAAGAGGAATGTCTTGCTCAAGGTCAGCCAGCTGCTAAAGGTGCAATTGGAATGGAAACCCAGGTGTGCCTGAAACCAAAGCTGGCTACAATTCCAAGGTCCGAAAAAGCTCTGAAAACCAAAAGCTTTCTCATGAGGTTGGGGCAGGCATTTGATAACAAACCCGATGTGAATTGGACGTGAGGTTATTTATAGTCTTTCTTTTATCCCACTTAGCATGAATATGTATACATTTTGCTGTATAGGAATATTAAAGAGTTCACACTGTGTATGAAAGGGTTTATGGAGTACTGCCCCAGAGATTGCTGGGCATGTTGTGTAATATACAGTAGACCCACCATAAAACCTTTCTGAAATCCAAAGAATTCTGTTAGCAAACACATTGAGCCCCAAGTGTTTCAGATAAGGAATCGTGGACTTGTACCAAACTTTTCTGTCTCAGCGATGCAAAGGGCACTACCTCTATTTTATAGACGAGAAAGACTGACTATGGGGGAAGTGGTGCCCAGGCCAAGTCTGTGGAACCGCAGCATTTTATCATCCTGTAGGAGGGTGTGCCGGGAGGAAGGGAAGCCTTTGAATCACCAGCCCACTCCAGCCTCCTAAGAGCCTTGTTGCCCCAGCAAAATTTTAAAAATAGAAAACCTGGAAGGATTAAAGCATCCCGAAGGATGCTTTAAGTCCCATGGAAGAAAGGGAGGCTTGCTGTAGGTTCCGATGTTTGGCATTCAAATTTATTTTTTATCTCAGCTGGATGTACACTCACCCATCACAGGATCAGTTCTCAGAATAGAGAGGTACCTGTTGAATCATCCACCCCACTTCCTGTCTGGTGCGGGCATCTCTCCAAATGCTGAGCCATCCACTTCTCTGCTGTGGCCTGAGATATATCAGGATTTGCAGCCCTGGTGACAGGAGACAAAATAGACTCCCATTTCCTTCGGAACCATTTAGCTAGTTTAGAGAGTGCTTGACTGTTTCAATGGGATGAGCAAGAACCAGGCTTCTCCTGGCCCCTCCTCTCTGCCCTATACATTTTCCTTTGTTAGAAGCTGGGGTTTGTTGCTCTGGGGTAAACGGTAAACACTGACTTTGGCTTGATCTAGCTGTATAGTCTTGGACTAGTACATACCCCTCTCTGAACCTCAGGTCCACTTTCTGCAGTGCATGCGTTGTTCTCTGTTTCTGCCACATGCCCTGGCTCCCACTGTCCTTAAGACTGGAAACCGTACCTGGCAGCTTCCCAGAGAGCTTTATCGGGGCTAAGTGACTGCAGGTGATATTTAAGGGGGGGGGGCGTCTCATGGGGCAGTATGGTATCACAGCAATGCAAGCAGAAATTTGTAGAGACAGACTGCCTGAATTTGCATCCTAGGTTATCACTAGCCACGTGACCTTGGGCAAGTTGTGCGGCTGAGCCTCGGCACCCTCATCTGTAAAATGGACAGAATCATAGCAGGTAGGTAACGGGAATTAAGTCGGATAATATGGAAAGTGCTTAAACAGTGTTTGGTGTGCAGTAAACCCTTAATCCACGCCAGCTGGATTGGCATCGTCACCAGAAACCTGTAGGGTTTTGACTGGGGCAAGATACTGCAGCATTTCAAAAGCAATCTCTTGTCGCTTGTAGGGAAGCAGTTCCTGGGCTGCCCACTCAGAGTTCAGAGAGAGAGACCCAGTTGTGCTCTCAAGTAGCCCAAAGTCTAGTGGGAAAGTAGGTGTGACTAATCCAGGGGCTGCAATACCTATGAAGTGCCTAATGAAATAGATTTTGAACTACCTTTAAAAAGCAGATTTCACATAAAAATCCAGAATTTTGGCTTCTCTTAAGATGAACAACACTGGGTTGGCTTTTCTGCCTGAGGATAAGAAGCTGGCACTGCATACGGGCTGCCCACAGACCAGAGGCTCTCTACCACAGTCCCCACTGTTCCTTATTGCATCGTATTTGACCCACTTCATGTTCATGAATGTGTGCTGCCTGGCCCCCTGGGAATTTGCAGGTAAATTACAATGCGATGCTGTGAGTGCTGTGGGAACAGGATGAGGGATAATAATTCAGCCTTGGGCAGTCAGGAAGAGCTCCTCAAGGGAGGCAAAGTCACAGCTGCTTCTCTCTAAAACCTGCAGAAGCCGCTGAACACCCTCATCTTTATGGCTCAAGGACACTAATAGAGGACACAAAGGCAGAGCTGGCAGGGATCTCTGACATAACCAAAGCTAAGTGGCCTGGCTGAGGACGGCACGGCTAGGGCTAGAACCAGGACTGTCAACCAGAAATAGCTGGGGGCCTTGGGTGTCAGGAGAATTTGTACTCTGGAATCTTTTTTTTTTTACATTTGTTTATAGTAGGCCCTGAACTGAAACAGTAGTTAATAGAAAAATTTAAACAATTGTGTGTTTTCAGGTTGTTTCTGTACTTTGGTTATTATGAATAATGCTACTGTGAACATTCATGTACAGGCTTTTGTGTGGACATACGGTTTCTTAGTTATATGCCTAGGAATGGAATTGCTGGGTCGTATGGTAACTCTATGTTTAAGTTTTTGAGAAACTGCCGACGTTTTCCAAAGTGGCTGCATTATTTTAAAAATCTCACTACCAGTGTAGAAGTTTCACCCTTCTCTCATGCCTTGCCAGCGTTTTGATATTGTCCATTATGTACTCTGGAGTCTTGAATTTGAGGCCTGTCTCTGCCACTTACTTGCAGCATGACCTTGGATAAGTTGTTTTACCTCCTGAAACCTCGGTTTCTTCATCTGTAAAAACCTCTAAGGATTCTGACCTCAAAGGAGCGTCCTGAGGGCCAAATAATGAGAAAATGGATAGGGGGACACTCATAAACTCAAGAGGGCTCTCGACACGTGAGGGTCATTATAATTGTTGCAAATTAGCCACCTTCCCCTGACAGATTTGTCACCATCTCTTCGACAGAGACCTTGAAGGGGACCTGCCCCCCATCTGCCTTTGCCAGTGCCTTGTGGGAGCAGGCATGGCCTTTTTCCCGGTGTGGACCCAGGAAGGGAATGTTTTGGGATTCTCTTACCTTGGCTGTGAGCAGGACTCTGGGTGCAGAGCCCAAGGGCTCCCCTCTTCCAAGGTCAAAGGAGGTGCTGAGCGAGAGATGGGAAGGAAGCAGAATTTCCTGGGAAAAAGAGGAGAAATGTCAATAATTCCTTAATTTTCTTCAAGGCCCCTACCCCTGCATATCAGGGGCTACCTTGAAACCCCTTGTCAGCCAGTGGCTGGAACTATTGAGGCAGTATAGTGTGTGGTTGACTATCTCGATTTGGGGGTCACCTTGTCCTGAGGTCAAATCTTGGCTTTCCTCCTTACTAGTTGAGTGTGTGTTTTGGCAAAATTGTAAACATGTCTAAACCTCAGTGTTCTCATCTGTAAAATGGGATTCTTTTTATTTATTTATTTATTTTTATTGAAGTATAGTTGATTTATAATGTGTTAATTTCTAGTGTACAGCAAAGTGATTCAGTTACACACATATACATATACATTCTTTCTAAAATATCCTTTTCCATCTTGGTTTATCACAGGATATTGAATATAGTTCCCTGTGCTACACAGTAGGACCTTGTTGTTTATCCATTCTCTGTATAAAAGCTTACATCTGCTGACCCCAGCCTCCCACTCCAGCCCTCCCCCAACCACCTCCACCTTAGCAACCACCAGTCTGTTCTCTCTGTCTGTGAGTCTGTTTCTGTTTCGTAGATAGATTCATTTGTGTCATATTATAGATTCCACATATAAGTGATATCATATGGTATTTGTCTTTCTCTTCCTGGCTTACTTCACTTAGTATGATAATCTCTCGTTGCATCCCCAAATGGGATTTGTAAAAGTACCTATCTTATAGAGTTTTGTGGAATTAAATGAGATTATACCATAAAGGGTTAAGCACAGTGAGAAGTTCAATAAGTGCCCATATTATTGGAAATAGTAATAACTATCATGTTTGTACATGATTTTACCATTTATGAACTAGTTGTGCTTTTCTTATCCCATTTGATCTTCACAAGAACTCTGAGGTGGCCAGTGTAGGGATTATGACCTCACTGCACAGATGAGAAAACTGGAGCCCAGAGAGGGCAGCAGTCTGCTCACGGTCACACAGCTTATGAGTGACAGAGTCAAGTTCAAGTCTTCTCAGATGAAGGAATGACAGTGTTGTTCACAGCGCCAGGCCAGTCCACCTGCAAAGGTGGCCGGGCTGCTCCTTGGGCACACCAATTTTCCCAGTGACCTCTTCACAGAGAAGTAATCCAGTGTTGCTTCAGACCCTCGTTGCCCCTGTTTATACTCTGAGCCTGTACCACTTCTGAGGGTGAAGAAATTTCTCCTTGTTCTGTGTTGTCAGACTGATTTTTCCTTGCATTTGTCCTAAAACGACCTCCATGGGTTCCCAGCCATCCCTACCCAGCCTGATCCCTGTTGACCACCGGGAGGTCCCTGTGTTCTGAGTTCTGGCCACACGATGGCGCTGCTCCCCAAGGCATGAAGAGTCCTAACCAGCGCTTGGACTGCATTTCAATGCATTGACTATCAATTAAACACCTACTATGTGCAAATCACTGTGGCTGCTGAGGAGAGGGCTTCAGTTATTTATTAATGTTATCATAAGCTATATAAATAGCAACAACAGTAATAATAACATTGGTACAGATTTTCATAGTTCATTGAGCAATTCTCATACTTCCTTTTGCCAAATAATCCTGATATTTTAGGTGAGGTAGGTCTCCTCACCCCCACTTGGGGAGGAGACTGAGGCACAGAGAGGTGACAGGCCTTGCATAAAGGCACAGAGTGACACATGGCAGGCACTCGATGAATCATAGGTGG